ACAGGCCTACATTGTCCAATGTGGGTGAGAATCAGAACCTACGTAGACGTTGCCAAGCCACTACGTAGGTTGTATGTACCTACTTAGGAGAATTCATCATTTTTATGTTCAATTTTAATCGTACATTCAACATTAAAGATGTTATTGCGCTTAAAACGTTCAATGATTCTCTAAACCCTCTAAACCTTATCCAATATAAACATCATCAGATATTCTTCAGTCTTAGTGAAAACATTGCGTGACAAAACAAAAAAATACTCTCAAATTGAAAACATAATGACGTTAACCACTACCTAATATGACTTCCGCAAACTGAGTTCTGTGATTGCTTCTTTTCGCTATCTGTGTCACTGTTTACATTGAACAAACTTATATTTATAGGAAATTGATGTTTCATAATTATGTTAAATAAGTAGGTTGACTAAAACAATGCCTATAGGATAAGCAATTAATACTTTATTATGTCGGTTTATTTGTTTTCAGTTTTTATTGTCTGATCCGTCCGCGTAACCGAGTCATATTGATTGACTGGAATAACACTTCTTTATGTGATCTATGTTCATCCTATTCTGACGAAATCAAAATTATGATAGCCTGATCGGAGGCTCGAACTGCTGTCGGTGCGCTAAGAATGGATTCATATTCGTCAGGCCTTCAGCTACTCAAGAAGTCCTTCTGCGAGCTTAGACTGACTTCTGCATCTGCCCCCATTTTAATCCGTAAATTAATTCCCATAAAAAACTTCTTATATTTTTCAATATGAGACACGATGTGTAGTTACCCGTGACGATTGGTTGAACTGATAAGGCCCCAGAAGGTGAACAAATAATGCGTTTACTTTATAATATTAGCATAGTTGGATAAGAATGTAATTGATGGTTTCATTTTATAGATTAAATAATATTTTATAACCTTTAAATAACAGATTTAACTTACGAGTATTAAAGTCTATTCCGTCAGTAAACGTATATGAAATACGCAGAATTAAATAATTGCATGAGCTGTTTAGTTCCCGGGAATTGTGAGAAATAAAGTTCACATTGCGTAAGTCCGGGAATTTAATGCTTCCTGTGCTGTCGGTTGTCCTGCACAATTGCTTAATGATATGGTTTTAATTTAATGATCGTAGCAAAATCCTGTAATAATCCTTAGTTCTCTAATATATTATAATTTAAAATATTTACAACTTAAGATTTTGAGGAAGTACTAATTTAGCTCTATTGAGGATTACGTTTGTCTTCTCACTTATTACTAAATGTGTATACTGGACAACCTCTTTATGCTAAATGTGCCCTAAAACGGCAACAGTCTGCAAACTACCACTTATAAGCTTATATATTTTTATCTTAAGATAAAACTGTTGAACAATAATACGGCCAGCGCGACCACGTAGGTACTCTCGATTTCGAAACAATCGCACTACGCATAGTGTGGAAACATCGTAATGACAGCTATTGTGACTAAATAGTGAGTACGTAGGTACTAGTTTCCTCAGTAGCTGATTCAAAGGTTCCCGTTTCACTCCCACGATCCACTTTGATGGCGTGTGTTACTGTCGTGTTGATGATGATGACGGTTGTTTTTGCATCAGCAATTATGTACAGTTTGTTGCAAGTTTCTCTCAGTCCAATTACAACGAATTTGTGGGAGTGCGCGGTCGACGGAAGGTCTCTCCTTTGTTTGGCGGCCGTAACAATCGCCACCAGAATCTCGACATAGCTAATCATAATTTAAATTCCTCATAATTATTCGTGTACGTAATAACAAGTAATTTATTTTTTACATTTATTTTTATGAAAAACAAAGTGAAAGTTAATGCCAATGTACTTATACATGAGCGATGTCACTTATAGTATTTGCTCATTATTTTATCAGAAAAACATTATTTCTAAGTTATTATATTATAACTTTTGCCCCTTCAACCTTTTATTATAACGTGTCTTTCCTACATCGTTCTACTAAACCTAAATTTAAAATTCGACATTCGGAAGTACAGAATATACTTAAACTATATTTGCGCTCTTTGTTCAGAGGAAACTCAAACTCTGCATTTAATTTTAGGGTTCCGAACCAAAGTGTAAAACTAAATAAGCGTCCCCTTATATGCATAATATCACGTATTATCCATAATGACATTAAATCTATTGTATCACTCGGTTAAGAGTGAACGATTTTTTTTTTCAATATTGTCCTGAGAAAATGAATAATAACAGAAATAATTGCGTTAATCAGTAACGGTTGCCTGTCTGTATATAACGCAGGCACTGTATACGTCCTCATTACGCGCCAAGATAATTAAGGCCAGGGGCTTGGCGAATGTTATAGGCCAGGCTGGAACGCTGAGCAGTAGCGGCAAAGGGAGGAGTCAGTTATAGGCCGCCGAGCCGCCGATGGCCAACTCACCTTGCTTTACCATATATAGTGTTATCCAACGAGGTCGCTATGTTGCGCAACCACCAATGACTCCTTCCTTTTATGTGTGTCATTATTTTCACCTGTAATAGGTATGGTAACGCGTTACGGGCAATAATTGGATGGACACGTTATCCTTACTTCTGTTATAATGTATCCCGCTGTGCTGCCCCCTTCGTGATATACAACCACATAATATATAGATTTTCAACGTGTATTATGTGGCTGTACCGATTTTAAAAATTATTTCAGCTGTAAAAACCTGTTTTTACAGTTGAAATAATTTTTAAAATCGGTCAAGTATTTTTTGTGTTTATCTATTACAAACAAAGAATTAAATTTTTCGCCATTATTACGTTAGTTAGGTAAAGTAAAAATAACTTTGCGTCCTATAGGTATCTACAATATTTGCTTTAAAGGCTTATCATAAAATTTACTCAGTACACACGATGTTATAAGTTACTGGCCACTATTTGGCATACAGAAAGACATGCGTTGCTTTTCGTTAAGTTGAAACAATTCGCTTCATTCACGCTGTCTAAGACTGGTATATACAATACTGAATACTACTGGTCTCTCTCTCGATTAAAGCAATGTCTGTCTCATTGCGGAATATTTTAATGTCTAGAAAGCCTCACTAATGTTAATTAAAATTAAATTACATGCTCAAGGCCATATTTCGTAAACAGCTAAAGTACACTCTTGCGGAGCAGACATAATATTGGATATCAAATATAATCTATCTTATTTTGATATGATGAAATGGAAATTAATTGAGTTAATATCATTGAGAATGAAAGATTAAGATATTACCGATGTAGACTTTGTACAAAGTCGTCTGCGAGTAACCTATGTGTCTCGCTTATTTCTGAAATCAAACAGCTTGCTTTGTAAGCTGTGTTCTATAATGAAGAGTCAGATAATTCAGTGTTGGATGTGGATGCCTAGTAATCGAGACCTCAGTAATAGGTACCTACACATGCAGGGTTAATGACGTTGTGATATCCCTGGTGGTTCGTATATATGTGCAGTCGGTTGCAACCTTCGATAAAGTGGGCTTCATAAGCTTGATTACAATACCAGATATATACGTATTAGATTGAGCATGCAAGACTTATGGGAATAAATAATAGATAGCTATATTAAGAGTATCTTGTCAAGTAGAAATGTAATATTTTAATCGTGTAGTACAAAATACCTACTATACTTTTTCTTTATGAGAGCACTCAGAACCAGTATAAACACATACATGCTATACATAGATGATATTAGCAGTTCCTTCATGACGAAGCATACGTCCGTTGGATGACGTATCAACACTGTAGTACCAGACTGCCAGTATCTCTTTGTGGTTGTCATTAATCATCATTCTACATCGTCTCGCGATATGTTATGAAAATCGAAAAAGTAATGATTAGTGTAACTTACAAAACGGTATTGTACCGATCAGCATTATAGAGACAAAATTCATTATAGAGAGACAAAATGAATAATTCATAAACAAAATAACATGAAACCTTATTATTGTAGCTGTTTTAGACACCGTTATTTTGAGAAAAACCCAATACCTACATACATTATGTTGTTTGGTTGAACGCGCTAATCTTAGGAATCGCAATAAAAGTAATTTAAAGGTATATTAGAGACTACTTGTTCTAATTGAAATATGTCTTTAGTATTACAGCCCGATTAACGAGGAAGGGTATATAATATCACGACGAAAACCAAGTTGTGTGGTTTAGCTAGTTAGCTATATATGAAAACCTATAATATAAATTATTGTATTTATTAAAAACATGTATAAATATCATAATAAGACAAGTGTGTACCTGTAATCCTTGTATCTTTTGTTATACGCTTAATTGTAATGACTGTTATCTATGCACTTGTATCTAGAGATTGTGATGAATTTGCTAAACTTAGCGATCGTGCTTATAATATATCATTACCAGTATTACAACATAATAGGCAAGCCTGACGCATAGTATACTAAAATGTAATTGAATACACATTGTTAGGTGACGCAAAACAACGGACAGTCTTTATTGCGTAGGTACGTAAGTAGAATACAGAGGCAAGTCAACCAGCTAACGAGAAGTGAGGTTGCGCATCATTAGCTTTTTATTACCTCATGTTCTTCATCTACGCTAGATTATTGTTACGGTGCTATCGTATTCTATATGTGTTCTTATATTTGGTACTAATAAAGTCCTAATTTCGCCCGTATAAAGTTCATAATTGTATGGAGTAATACACATTTATCAGTGCAATTGACCGTGCACTGTAGTTTGTCATAGTTATCAACGAGTTTCTCTCTCGTGCTTATTATAACGTTAAGATAGCTATCATTCGTCTGTAACACTTTCTTAATGTAGCCACAATATGATAAATTGCATGTGACATGAAATTTAAAAGAGGATTTAAACAACTACAAACACAATTATACGAAGGCCACATACTTTTAAAAAAGTTTATGGAATACATCTTTTAAAAATAAGCAATAACAGAAAATCTGGTCAGCATAAGAAGCAACATTTTCATACCTCATATATCCAAAGTCATAAAAATATTCGCCTTCGTTGTTTCAGGAGAAGCAAAAAATCTACCAGGTCGCAGCCATGGCACGGCATGCCCTCGTCATCCCGACATCTACTGCGTGCTCTCGCTCGACCAGGAGGAAATATTCCGCACGTCCACCATGGAGAGAACGCTTAAGTAAGTCACACAATTTCTTATACATTAGAACTTGCTATCTTCGTCTGTTTTTCCGGCTCAAAATTGTAAACTTTCCATTTTTCAATGTTGCTAATATTCGATTATAGCATCTCTGCTAATGTAATCTTCCACTGATAACTCCAGCATACATAATCAGCGCACGCGAACACCAGTGGGTAATAGGATAAGAATGCAGTCAAGTTAGTTAGCCCATCGTGGCGAATTCAACAGAAAGTTGACTGATATTACTATAAGATATACATATGTTGATATGTTGACTGATATACATATCACATTGAAATATGTTCAAAACATGTTATATTCTGACACTGGCTTGGAATTACTTAGATATCTATAATTAGAAAGTCTTAGATGTAATTTGCATTCTCTGATACAAGTAGATATTATCTCAAACGCTTACTCATATATTCCTCATGTCAAACATTACAAAAATAAACATTCTTAATCAGCACTTCTACACGGATTTTACTGAAAATTCTACGTACAAAAAGAAAATATTGTTTTCGATAAATGCCAAAAAATATAAGTAGCTATTCGTAGTTTTCACTTAAACCTACTTTTCTTAGCCTAATTTCTATTATGACTTGAAATGTTGTAATTTCATGAAATATCTAAACCATAATATAATAACAATGGCGATATCTGTATATCAACAATGGACATTAATGAGTTGGTTTACGCTCATGTGAATGTAGGTAATCCAATTTTTTTATATATTTTATCGAATTAGGTCCATTACTTAATGGATTTATTTTATTTTGTCATCAAATTGCAGAGATATCGTATGTTTGTTACATTTTTACGATTAAACTCCTGAAGGGATTTTAATAAAATAGATGATAATTCAATATTATGTTAAATATGTTATATTTCATCTTAAAATGCAGGCGAAGTCGAGAGTAACCGCTAGATTATAATTCGATTTCATTTAACTCTTCTAATTTCCAAAAAATAAATTGTTTTCCCTAAGTGTCACCGATCCAGTTTTACACATTTTTCGTGTTTTTTTAATAATGAATTATGGAGTCTCACGTCGTCTGTATAGTTTATTTATTTTCAATAACAATAATAAAACTTTCAACATTTTTGAAGATTTAAATTATAAATTGCTCATATATCAATTTAAAATATTAATTATAGTTCCTATAAAGTAATCGTATTGTGAATAAACTATAATCGTTAAACATACCTAAGTCCTTTCTTATCTTAGGTTTTTTTTTTATAAAATAAATCTACATATATTATATACAGCTTTCTGAACTCAGTAGTTTTGGTTGTGTGCGTTTAGTCAAGAAACAATTGTATTTATTATATGTATGAAAACCGTATGAAAATCAGTTCAGTAGTTTTCGTAATATCAGGAAGAAACATACAGACAGTGGGGGACTTTGTTTTATAATTAAGGCTGTAGGTCGCTACATAATCAGTTTTTAAGTAATTATTTATCCTCATTTAGTATATATATTTATAATATAATATATAAATATATATACTAGTTGTGCCCGCGGTTTCACCCGCGTAAAATTTATAGCCTTATATGTTATTCTGATGTACAAGCTATATTACTGTAAAGTTTCATCATAATCTATTCAGTAGTTTTTGCGTGAAAGAATAACAAACATCTATCCATACTCACAATCTTTCGCGTTTATAATATTAATAATAATAATAAATTATATTGAAATCGTTTTAAAAATAACAAATGTAAGACGTTGCGAGACTTTGTTAATGAACGCCCTATGGTTGACTCAAGTTTATACTAACGTCCTTGAGTTAGTTTATTGGTAGTAGTCTCGGACCCTTTTCGTTTACTGAACAAACATATTTTTTACCGTTTATTTCATGATTGACATAATAACGAACCGTTTGTTGTCCATGTCCGGGGGCACTTCCGGCGCTGGCGGGGCGAGTGGGAACGGCTCGCCACTCATCGACACATTTACGCGGGCCAAATAAATTTACTGGGTCAAGGTTTACCTACTTTATGAATGGCCGACCGGTCGAACTATTGGCGTGTTGAATTAAAAATAATTAGATCTACTTTTTTTCATTCATGATGATGGAATGTTGTGGGTTGCGTTAACCGTGTATGCTAACAAAGCATCAGTGAAAGAATAGGATGAGAATGAAGAATGAGAGATCAGATATTGCACCATAGCGAATTCGTCAAAAGTTTCCACAGAGAAGCGAGAACATGGAAGTCGTCTTGACATGGTAGTTATGGTACATTGCTAACAATGGGGCCGCCAGTCCCCGTTACCAACTATCCCCTCCCTCCTAATTAGGGTAATTGTATGGTGCCAGCATTACCGCTATTCCGTCCACCATTATTTCGGCAATTGTTCTTCTTTATACTTCCCATGATTTCCATAGCTTGACCCTTTTGTTCATAGAAACGTCAAACATCTAGTAAACTTCAAATTGAAGTATTTTGTACTTATCTCTTGACCTATTGTCAAAATGTGAAAGAGTCACCAAAAAAGATTATAGGAGAGATTTTGTTTTAACTAATAATAACCAATTTATACCAGCTATATAATATTACTTTATGTAACGTGTGTTTTAAGTAAAAATTTACTGTCTCAACAGTTATTGTAAGCGAAGTAGTCTGAGGCATTGTCATCTATCGACGTCATGATGAACGTAACACTTGACATCTGTGTCTCGTTTTAGTTAGTTATCGGTATTACTATCATCGCAGAGTCCGTCAGAAATATCACTTAACACACTAAATGTTTTGGTGTCCGCCAGATTTCAATCCACGATCTTTCGACCTAAGTAGTGAACCATTAAACTATAACGTTACTGTTGTAAAAGACATTTATGTACATATATATATATATATATATATAGTTTTATAGTAGTTGTATATAATATTATGCCAATCATAAGTGCTTAACCGAATAGCGCTTATCAATAATTTCCGTATGGGGTACGCTGTGATATCGCACGTTATCACATTATGTATTCATTAATTTTACGCACAAATCACCTTTTATTGACATCCTTCTTTATTGATAAATATTTTTATCACTCGGCCCGAATTGGTCAGTAAACACTATTATTATTTAGAAATTTTACCGTTTTTAAGGAAATTTAATCCATATTTTTACATGTATTCGCTATGATTCGCCGTATATTATATTGCAACCAATTGCATAAAGTTCTAAATTGTGCATACTCTCACAAAGTCTGAAAGATTTTAAAACTGAAATATGTTTCTGATACTTTTACATATAAGTTGTTCAATTGAATCAACATATTTTAATTAATTAAAGTATCATAGTACTATTTATAAATATTACTTACAAATAACCTTTGAAAAATAGGGTGTGTATGAATTAATAACACGAGAACAATTAATTCTTCTGTTTGCTTTTGGCCAAATGTACATTATATAAAATGTGCTTTATTTGGTTTACATATGTTTTCAAGTTGTCATTTGAAAATTGTAAATTTTGGGGAGGCGTCATTGTGGTAAGGGAGGGCGGTACGGTGCGGCGCGCCGCGTCCCGGATGCGTATCCGGCACGCGTTCGCCCGCGCGGAACGTCCCTTCCGCTACACCCCCTCACCATTCACTTTTTCCAATGAATGAGACACCGCTGCACTCACTTAATGAATTAATTCTGTTCCTCTTTAGTAACGTGTGGGAAAATAACTTCTTGTTGAAATTAGTAATTATCGCATCTATTGCAGTATTTTGGGAATACTACAATATATGCGATAAACAGTGTTTAAAAAAGTAACTTATAAAATTAATAGTCTGAATTTCTTTCGATTGCAATGATTAAGTTTAGTTTTATAATAACAATAATTCTTATTATAATTAATCTACTACTTATGGATTAAAATGTACTTTGGCATTCAAAGGTGTCGTCAAAAAGATTCTGTAGGTATAGTAACATGAATCGCAAATAATTTCATTTCACCTAGTTGCTATAGTAGAGTAGTTATCTATTTCTGGTTCAAGATCTATATTTGTAAACGTATGTAACATAACAATCATAAAATGGGAATGTAATCTATTTCGAAAGTTACTACGATGATCAGAGGGTCTGTATGATAGTGCGTTATGTTCAGCGGAAACAATAATGATTTGTGACCCAAAAGGTGAGAACGCAGCACTGCGGTGGATATCGAAGGAAATGTCACGTCACTTGTCAAACGAGTTAACATAATGGGTTCTTTGTCTTGCGATACCTTATCAGCAGCGCTTCATTCGAACGAGTACCGTCCAAACGTTCTGCTGTTTAAATATAGCGACTGACACTGTAAAAGCTTTACAAACTATATTATTTATTTAATTACATATGTAATATAGGTAGGCACGTTTCACGCAGCGTCGTCTAGTCCCAAGCTAAGCCGTGTTTGTAAAGATACAGTTTTTTAAAATACATACATAATACATAGAAAATACCTAAATTGATACAAACAGTCATAATATACATGAATAAATGTTTGTACCGTGCGAGGTATCGAGCCTGCGATCATCGCAAGTAAGGGTGTTTCCAAACCGCTAGGTCACTGAGGCAATCAACATATATGTAACATATGTAGAATTGTAGATACTTTAAGCTCTTATAATTAAGCACAATCATATTACACGGGACCTGGGTGGGTGTAGCAATTTGTTACAGTAAACATTAATTTGTATACAACTTTGTCATAATTATTAGCTTATTAATATTGTAAACGCGAAAGCTTGTGAGTATGGTTGGATGTTTGTTACTCTTTCACGCAAAAACCACTGAACGGATTTTGATGAAACTTTACAGTAACATAGCTTATACATCAGAAAAACATATAGGCTACAAATTTCACCCGGGTGAAACCGCGGCCACAGGTAATATGTATATAATCACACAAAAATTCATTAGTAATAATAAATCGAGTAGACAGGCATAGGCATGCCGCATTTCCGTTAATTTATTATGATTTGTAAGTTTTCTTTGTTTGTCTTTAGTTCGTCTGGCGATTTATTATAAATTTATATCGCACGATATTACGGTTACATTTGTACTTTTTTTATTTAGGTCTGTGTGAATTTACGTCTGTCAGTTACCTTTCATGATTAAACGACTGAACGGATTTTAATGAAATATGGCGTGATATCTTCATTTGGCATGATTGTAACACTCTCGTGTCGAACATAGGTACTTTTATCTCAAAAAGCAGACGAAGCAGTGTTACAGCTATTTTAATCGATTTGACTGTCTCCTTGTATCTAAATAAGAATAACTTGTGGCTTTATTTCTTGTGTAAATTATTTATAGTTAAGCCGTGTACAGTAGTGTATCTGTATTAAAATTAGGATTTAATTTGGTTGAAGACGTCATAAAAAACAGCTCATAATTTTGTAGTGGCGCTGCAACGGAAGCTTTTAAGTGATAAATTGGTCCCGGAACCTCATGGCGCGTAAAATGATGATCGGCTGCATGCTCGCGCCTGCGCGGCTGCGCCAGAATGGGCCACGACCGGCCCCCGTCAATTCTCTTAAGTGCAACGCTCTGATTTCTTGCATTACGTACGCGCTATTTTATGCTCCTTGTGCGTTTATTGCGGCCACGGGTAGACGTACGGCATGTATGGCTTACGTCCTACTTATTTTGAAACATCCGCCAAGTGCGAATTGATAGATGGACCAATTTTATTTAGATCGAAATTTGTATGGTATAGATTAGTCATGTGGGATTTCATACATAGTACATTTCATACATATTGTAAATGCGAAAGTGTGCCTGCCTGCTTGTTGTTTTTCAAAATAAATGCATGAATGGATCCTAAAGAAAGACACGATGATGAAAGATTGTCTATGTTTTATCTAAAAAAAATGGTGCCGTTCATCATAATTAATGAAAGTCAGGTTTAGTGTCTCAATGGTATATGTCATCTAAAGATGAAAATAAATACGATACTTTACTATCTATTCATCAATCTAATGGTGTCATAAATATTTAATCTATGAATGATTCACAGATCTATGGATGTACATTAATATGACTGTTTGTGAGTATTCCTGGTACTTGGTTTAGGTACAAATAATAGTTATAGTAGTTGCGTTGTTTAGGAACAATTAAGAATCAGTGATTCTTAATTGTTCGTAATGTACGTGGGCGAAATACGAGGACGCGCACAATTTTGAATAAGTAGTTTAAAATTGTGCCATTTATTCAGAATAGGATGATTTCTCTCTATAAAAGAAAGAAATTCATTGTTTTTGGGAGGTATTTTTCTATAGGTTATACATATGTTAACAGATGTTTAACGACATATTCTGTGAAAAAATCAACAACTTAAACAAACGAACAGACAGTTTTCGCCTCGTCACCATTTTACAATTGTAGTAGATTTATAGATAAAGAAAAATATTATATTATACAAAAAAAAAAAGAGTGCAGTGCAGTAAGAAAATTTTCGTGAAAGATATCTTCCAGACATGGTGATATAGCAACAACACGTACGCTTGTAATTTGCATTGAATTGCAGTAATTTGTGAAATGCATCGATCGAGGCGTGAACTGTGATGCATGCGGCGCGCCTCTGCTATGGCACAGTCAATGGCGGGCCGCGGGTGGCGGTTCCGCCTCCGTTTATAAATACCGGCCGGTGCCGGATGCGGCGCTAGCCTGCCACGCCAACACACGACACAAATCCCACACAAAACAATAATAAGCACATATTTTTATACGTTTATCTATATATATTATTCGTGATAACTACAACTTATAACGATTACGTGTTATGTAATACGTACACCTATTTTTATGTGATAATAGTTAGTAAGCTTAGAAGTATAATAATATTTCGATTTATTCATATAATAGAGTGGCTAAGACATATGTGTACTATAGAATATAAATAAAAATATCGAATAGCATATCTGCCTTTCCCAAACAAAATTCGGCACTATACAATCATAGTTGCAAGCATAGAAATAAGAGACATTTAGTTACAGGAAGTTTATCCAAATATTTTAATCTGCAACTAAATACTGTTTTGTTTATTAGTTATTTCCAGTTACAATAATCTATAATGAACATTAAACAGGAAAGATTAACTATATATACCTAAATGAAACCGTAATATAATTCAGAACAGAATTTTATATAATTTATTTCTCAAATTAATAACAGCATTCACATAACAGAATACAGTGAACCATTTGCACGTCTCTTATATACTACCTTATATCTGGACTAACTTGTTATGCGAAGGACTGATTTATCATCCGGGCTATAGACGTATACGACGCAAGTATATACCTTAAGTTATATGAAAAGTAAGCATACCGCTATATTAACAGCAAACCTACTTCAACAATACTGCACTGCTGTACTAACCATTTAAAAGCAATTTTAAACATTTTCATATACCTGCTCTGTCAGATGGATTTTATAGTGATTCGCTAGAGTGAAATCGTTTCTCTTGATTTTAGGGGCAAATAATATTTGAAACTTAAAGAATGTCTTTAGTATTCATTTTAAAAATAAAAATTAATGTTTATTTTACATGTCCAATAATTTAATTTAATTTAATTCTACTCTAATGTAAAATCACCTAAGTCGTTAATACAATGGACTGATTATAGGAAATTTATGATTATTGAATTGATTTGTACATTTCTCGTCAGTCTCCCTTGAACGGAGTTCCCTATCTTAACATTACAGAGGCGAAGGATGATGGAAATGTTCCTTTCATCTGGTCTATGACTTATATGAATTAGTGTGTTTTCATGCGCGCTCAGTGAAATCCGAACAATATCCTTAATTAATAACAGAACTATATGGCATCTATAAAATTCTCTGTCTTAATAATGTACATACATTATGATAATTGCTACAGCAAATATGCAATAATTGCCGTGCCTATTCACAAGTTACCAACTCCATCCTACGTTATGTACACTTACACCCACCTCTACATAGACAAAATCGCAATTACTGTTTGCGAATAACTTGTTTGGTATGAATGAACTATAAAACCATATTTGATATAAAAGCATTTAATTAATTGTATTGTCAACCATTGTAATCCAGCTTTAATGGATTTAGTTATATCAGTCAACCACAGATAGCCAACAATCTCTTTTTATATGTTTTTATGGAACTAAGTGGAACTTTAATTTTATAAAAAAGCAGTATACTGACAGTATATACCTCGTAATTTTATGCTATATTGAGTGGAGGTAGACATAAATGACCAGAGCAAGTGGACATGTCATATTTTATCTAATACTAAAAATATGTTATCTTTTGTTGCAGTCCATTTTTCGGCGAAGAGTTCCAGTTTGAGGTGCCCCGAAGATTTCGATACCTGTCAATATACGTGTTTGACCGTGACAAACATCTCAAACAGAACAAAGTGCTGGGAAAGGTTGCTATCAAAAGAGAAGATCTACACAGATATAACAATAAAGATCACTGGTTTGCACTACGGCCTGTCGATGCAGACTCCGAAGTGCAGGGGAAAGCATACATTGAACTCTCCCTCGAAGATTCGAGAAAACGGTTACGGGTGGAACCGAAACCCCCTGATCCCGACCCAGCTGCCGACAACAGCTCGTCGAAGACCAAAGCAAAGAATTTCGGCAGAATATCGGAATATTGTAAAGAGAGCATGAGGTTCGGCTCTTGTTCGAGCTCGACAAGTAAAAAACTACTGAGTGCGGTAGAGACGGAACCTACTCTAACACTATCTCGGTCGGAAAGTTTGAAAGATCGAGCTCAATGGGGCACGCGGACGAAGCCCCATGTGCATACGATGTCGGAATCTGACACTCCTACACCCACCGCCGTCGACTACTGGTCGGACCCAGAAAGACATTGCGCAGCGCGCATTGGACCTGACACATTACGCCTCAGAGTACTGGAATGCTCAGAGCTCACCACAAAGAATGGACAGTGCGACCCATTTGCTCTCGTCACGTTGTTATACTCGAACGGACGAAGAGTAGAGAGGCGCACGAAACCTAGAAAAAAGACTGTTAACCCACAATTTGATGAATTCTTCTGTTTTGATCTCGTAATAGATTCCGACCCGAAAGACAAGGACGCCTCACAGTCGGTGCGTATTGAACATATGTTTCTACTTGTTATTTTCATTAAACCTATTATTTGGTACTATTATTGTATTTTTATAATTGCAGCCGGGTGTTGCATGCGAAGCGAGAGTTTCCGTCTGGCATGACTCAGCGACACCTGTCTTCCTCGGGGAAGTGCGATTACAGTTGCGGCAACCTGCACCATCGCCTTTGCGCGCTTGGTAATTTTTTATTCCTTAGTATTGAACTTGTGCCTTACTTATTGTCTTACAAATGTTCGACTGCTTACCAAGATTCACGATACAAAGTTAGGTCGAGTCTCGGTGCTGAGCTGTCGTCTGTATAGGATATATGTCTTTCTAATTTATAATAATTTATTGCATTCTTGTTATATGCACGTTTCGACTAGTTATTTATAAAAAAAATACATCTGTATAACTAACCACTATAGCAAATATGTCGGATTATTCACTCCAGAGGTACATGATATCATTGTACTGCTGCGGATCCAATGCATCTGGACCTGGACTTTGATATATGAATATATATTGGACAAGGATATATATTGTAATTTACTATCATAGTTTATAAGTTGTTTACTAATAATAACCGGAATAAATTAATAAATATACATTTATACCTATAATTAGTAAATCACGGGGTCTTACCACGTTTGATTTTTATTGAGTTCCCTAAACTGTGTTTACCCGCGATCATGGCGTTGAAACACTGCCGAAATATCGGGAACTCAATAAATCATGGTAAGATCCCGTGACTTACTAATTATACGTATAAATAATGACCGCGTCAAATTTATATCTGCATATAAATATATATTGCTACTAATAAAAAAAATGTAAAGTGGTATGTTGGTGTATTGTGCAGGTTCTTCCTGACGTCTCGCGCGGGCGGCGCCCTATCGCGAGGCGCTACTCCACCGGGTACACGGCTGTCGGCGGCGGGCAGCGCCACGCTCGGCTCGCTGCGGCTACTGCTGCAGTATACCGTCGACCACGTTTTCCCCCTAGACCACTATAAGCAGCTCGAGGAGTTGTTCCTACGTAGCGTACATCAAAAGGTGTGTTATCGTATTAATTTTATTAACACACTATTTCATGCTTGTATTCTTAACTATACCAGCGTATACCGTTAGCACACACGGGTGCACAATTCCATAAATAAAATATACACTGGCTGTAGTCTGCAACTTAGCCCGCGTGGTATATAGTCTATGTTTAACATTCATAAAATGTTGCTTTCTTTACTAATTATAAATATTATTTAAATTGGTCTTATATTTTGAAACTTATGCTTTTAATAAAAATAATATTTTTTCTTTATTAACAAATATTCTGGTGTTTCTGTATGGTAGTTGTGGTTGCGTAATCTGATGAAAAAGTTATGGTCTCCAGTATATGGGTTTCCCTCCTATACATATCTATGTAACCATGTATGCATGACAAGGCTTATAATAAAAAAATCGCAAAATTTTTCTTGTGTAATTAAAAAAAATTGTTGTGCAGATATATAACATTCTTTTATTTCTTTTATAGCCCATAGCAGCGTCCGCTGTTTACATCCTAGGGGAGATTGTGTCGAGTAAGACTGACGCGGCTCAGCCCCTAGTAAGGCTGTTCACACACCATGATCTCATCGTGCCTATAGTTAAGGAGCTCGCGGACGCGGAGATATCTGTTCTCACGTAAGTTTATGACTACAATGTTAGTTTAACTGTATTCGTTGACTAGTAACCCGCCCCAGCTTTGCATGGGCCCATATTCTGAAGTCCTTGATTGTATGCCCAAGCAAAAGCCTTAAGTATCTTTTAAGGTAATTATTACCAATGAAAATTCAACTGTTGTTCCTTTATAATATTTTTTCAGATATTTACAAGGTGTATAGATTTATATAATATTTTATATATATATATATATATATATTTTCTTAATAATTTCATAGCATTTTCTGAAGAAAATATTTTAAAGACGAAAAACGACGTTTTATTTTATTGCTGTATCAATTACATTGTTAGTAAAAACTATTATTATGATTTTTTTTTTTCAAATCATTCCGACTATTAAAAGTCATATAGCAGCGCGACCTGCTGATATTGCTGTGCATAATTGTTTGTTTGTATATATCTATAATTCAAATAAATGTATTTTGTAGTGACGCGACGACGATATTCCGCGGCAACACGCTGGTGTCGAAGATGATGGACGAGGCGATGCGGCTGAGCGGCGCGGCATACCTGCGGTCGGTGCTGCGGCCCACGCTGGCGGCCGTGCTGGCCGAGCGCCGGCCCTGCGAGATCGACCCCGCCCGGGTCAAGCCCTCCGCCGCCGTCACCGCCAACCTCGCCAATCTCAAGGAGTATGTTGAGAGGGTAAGTTACTCCTAGGTTTTAAAAAAAAATTAACTTCAAATCTGTAGCTGCTGTTACATAGCACTTTTTTCAAGCTCGATCAGGAGCGCGAAACTAATTAATTCGCCTATAGAATATATGTTTAGAAATCAAGTATAATTATAAACATTCTCTTATTGGATGTAAGTATTGTAGTAGCAATTAGTTTATACATATAACCTTATATTAAGTACTTGAAGAAAATTCTGTACGCAAATTTCGCACACTTATAGTTTATATATTTATATTTATAATGCACAATAAATACATTAAATCGATAAAGACCTTTATACACAATAATGTATTGGATACCTACACGCAAATGTACTCTTTTGTTTTATGTAGAAGTGTGTGGTCAAATTGAGAACAGATTAACATTGTTTGTCTTTAATTTTATTTGTCTATGATCGTATTGAATGCTAAATCAATTATGGTCGAGTTTCGACCACCAAGCGATCAGTTACATATAGCGAAATACTGGTAAAAATACAGGTGTTCGGCGCAATAACGTCGTCGTACGCGATGTGTCCGACGGCCATGTGCCGGCTGTTCGACGCGCTGCGGCAGTGCGCGGCGCGGCACTTCCCGCGGAACGCTGAGGTGCGCTACTCGGTCGTCTCGGGCTTCATCTTCCTGAGGTTCTTCGCGCCCGCCATCCTCGGGCCCAGGCTCTTCGATCTCACCACCGAGCAAATCGTGAGTATAATCTTTATAAATTATCTCTTACAATTATGTATGTAGTTTGTTTTATTTTATAATTAGTACACGTCGTCAGCGGCTTTGAACATCTTCCATACATTTTTTTTCTTTGTCACACTCTCATTCGTTCATACCCACGGCTGATATCTCGCTATTATACATATTTTTCATTCGTTAGTTATTTAACTACCACATATAATTACTAGAATATTCCTTTGTTCCTATTATCCACAAAGTATAAGATATTGTGCTAAAGATATCGCAAAATTCTAGAAAACGTATTTTATATTTAGTTTGCCATTGATTCAATATAAGAAGATTAGAACATATAAAAATTAGTATTGTAAATTTTAGTATTACTTTTCATGAGCACCAAGAATAAATTTAGTTATAAAAAGTAATCTTTAATTATAAAAAACATCTACCATTATAATATGGGCCTTTGAGCTGAGTGAAGCTATTATGTATTCATGTACTGATTACCTTATGTTACTAACCTACTGATTATTTTTCGCACGGTGAATCCATAGAATGTTAAGAAGTTCGTCTCGCTAATTTATTTATTAACTATAATACAAAGATATGTCTATTGATATTTTTCTATTGGATTGAATTAACTACGGTGAATTAAATACAGTAATATATGCATCTTTACTCTATTCTACAGGACCCCCAAACAAATAGGACTCTAACGCTAATTTCGAAGACGATCCAGTCCCTGGGTAACTTGGTGAGCAGTCGCTCGGCGCAGCAGGTCTGCAAGGAGGAGTACATGGCCGAACTGTACCGTAGCTTCTGCACGCCAAGACATGTATGTACACACATTTACTATTAAGGTAGCGATTTAAGACAAGATTAATGTGATGCTAAAGGTTTTAATAATCAAACAGTGTTGGTATTGTGAAATGGGCAGATCCACTGTTGATGGAAATCTATTTGAAAAAATAATTGTGTATTTTGTTCTGTAATTATACTCATTTAGGATGAAAAGCAAATGTTGTCATCAACATTTTTGTCTACACAAAATAAAAAAGTAGAATAAAACAATGGAGCTTATTGTTCATTTAGGTATGCATAATGTGTAAACTTAATACAGAGGGACACCGAATAAAACTGCAGAGGCCTACTGATTGCGTTGTCATTGTTTTATTACAGTGAAAATAAAAATATGTCTATTGATTTACAATTTATTACAGGTGCAAGCAATCAGGCAGTTCCTCGAAATAATCTCCACCAGCACGGATACACAAAACAACAACATACAGGAAACGCCTGTCTTACTGAAAGAAGGGTGAGCATTATTCTTTTTTAGCTTATTACTCGCCCCGGTTTGCATGCAATTATTTTTGGGCTCTAATTATTTGCAGATAAAACACTTAGCTGCGTTGGTCTAATGTAGTATTTTATATATGTATTTTTTAAATTTGTCAGTTACAAACAAAATATCAATCTCTTTTATGACCGATGCTTTGAGTTTATTACTAATATATATTACTTATCCAATTATAACTGAAGTTGATTCGTAACATAAAAATAATATGAATAAATTTAATTAAATAAATTTAAATTAAAGTAACTTGATATTGTAAGATTGAAATGTACAGTTTTGACATTGAGTATCACTTTCTTTTGTGTATAAAATTTGGCGTTATTAATATTGTCCTTTTAATCTATGCTACATTTGGAACAGATATGGGTATGTACTGTTTTAAAACTCGACTCAATTTGTTAACTATGTATATTAATAAATTGCATGGAACATGCAATGTTTGAATATACATATAGGTAGTATTGGCAATACTGACAATATTGGCAATTTATAGTGGCATGGTATTATTGAACTCAAGTGTATCTTGATTTTATAATGATTATTTTCGATACCTCGTTATCGATGCGGTAGTCGGATATTCGATGTTCAAATCGAGCCGGAAGTGAAGGTTGCGCGCGGTGGTTGCAGGACGATGATAAAGCGGTCGGAGGGAGTGCGCGGGGCGGGCGCGGGCGGCGCGGCGGGCGCGGGCGGCGCGGGGGGCGGCTCGCCGCGCCGCCGCTGGACGCGCGCCGCGCACGCGCACGCCAAGCGCAGACACTTCCGCCTCACCAGGTCAGTGAGACGCTGTTTGCTCACTTTAGATACTTTTTGTCTTCTTTTCGAACTATCAATCGAATTAAACACGTTAGGGATGTTCTTCATTGAACCAAAATTTTATATTTTTCGTCTAACTAAAATTGCTATAGAGCTGACACGCTACGATGGACCGACAACTCGTTTATTAGTTGTAGCCATCGTATATATGTTCTTACATGTCGATTATATTACATAAGCGATTAAAAATAAGCTTTATTAGTTATCTTAAAGTTCTCACAAGATAATGTATGCTAATAGTTTGGTTGAACACACTAATTTTGGGAATTAATTATTCTCATTGAAAAATATAAAGTTGGATAGCCCGATCATCCCGATCGACGAGGCTATAAACCTGCTACGTACGTTATATCATGATTGATAGCATCGTTGAAAAATGTTGTGTGGACGAAGTTACAGGTGCAGGCAGTTTGCATATTGCATAAAGTAAAATATTTATATATATTTACTAGCTGACCCTGAAAACGTTGTTAGGCTATATAAATTAAAATTGCTATTAAAAAAATATGGGTCTGTGATAGAACAGTGAAATTCAGGGTTGCATGTATTTTTAATGCCACATTATAAAAAAATAAAATGTCAAAAAAATAAAACGTTAGAGGTGGTTAACCCTTATCACTTAGAGGTATGAAAAATAGACAGTAGCCGATTCTCGGATCTACTGACTATGCATATAAAATTTCATAAAAATCGGTCAAACGATTTCGGAGGAATACGGTAACTGACATCGTGACACTAGAATGTTGTGTATAAGATTAATGTATATATACAGTGGGGAGTTGACGTGGTCGCGGTGCGGCGCGAAGACGCCCGGCCACCGTCTGCCGCTGTCGGGCGTGCTGGCCGTCGCCGCCGTCGACTGCCCGCCCGCCGGCGCGCCGCTCGGAGCCAACAACATCTTCCAGATAGGTACGCTGACGCTGAGGCGGCCAAACAGACTACGAGACGAGACAAGGATGTGATATCTACCAGGGATGTTAGGGAACTCCGTAATCGTAACCGAAACTATCGGATATCCGATATAAAAAAATATTCGTAACCGTAACCGAATCCGAAATAAAAGTTTCATATAGGGGCGGAGCCTAATATAGACACGTTATGTGGACATTTTTTTTAGCTATTTATTATTTTTGAAATTCCTTAAAAAATTAATATCCGTAACCGAAATTATCCGAAACTAACGGATAATCCGAAATAATTTCATATCCATAACATCCCTGATATCTACCTAGCGTGGTCCGTGATTTTGTCATACCATTTGCGTAAAAAAAGTATATGTATCATATTTACTCTGTACTTCTATACTATTTTTTTTTTTTTATTGATTCTTTGCATTGAGTTTACTCCGAAACTACTGGAACTATTTGAAGAAAATAAATTCATTTTAATAAATTTATTGAATTTCTACATCAAAGTTAAAATCTCTTGCCACGCTTTGTAATTTAGGTACTTATGTATGTACCTAAATTATTAGTCAGATATAGCTTTTAATATGTATTAAAAGCTATATCTGACTGATGCTGAACTATGGGATATATAATATTACTGATATGATCTATACTAGAGGTAGACTAAAAAGTTATAAAATGTATATATCATGCATATAATTATATGTTTGCTGTTTAATAATAATTAAACTGTAATTTCGTTTACAGTGCATCGCGAGCGCGTGCTGTTCGTGCAGGCGAGCAACTGTGTGGAGCGAGCGGAGTGGGTGCGGCTGCTGGCCGCGCTGTGTCGCCACTCACCCGCCGCTCCCGCGCACTCCGGCTACTACGCGGACGCGCGCTGGACCTGGTGCGTCAAACTGTATTATACATACCATTCACACATACAACCCATGTATAGTCTTATATTTTAAACTAGTATTAAGATAATTGTAGCCTAACGTAACACTTCCTATAGATTTTTTCTTTGTTATCGCCGTTTGCGTTTGTGTTACGTGTATTAAAGACATCGAAATTACTATAATAGTTGCGGTCGTGAGGAGGCGGACGCGGAGGGTTGTGGCGGGTGCACGCAGTCGACGGAGGCCGGCGAGCGGGAGACGCGGCGCGGACCAGCAGCACTAGCGCTGCGGCTCGACCCCGCGCGCGACCTGCAGCGGCTGCACGCGCTGCTGGTCGCGCACGCGCCGCGCCTCGACGAGCGGCTGCACCGGCCGCGCCACCACCACGGTACGTACGTCGCACGCCACCTGCAGCGGCTGCACGCGCTGCTGGTCGCGCACGCGCCGCGCCTCGACGAGCGGCTGCACCGGCCGCGCCACCACCACGGTACGTACGTCGCACGCCACCTGCAGCGGCTGCACGCGCTGCTGGTCGCGCACGCGCCGCGCCTCGACGAGCGGCTGCACCGGCCGCGCCACCACCACGGTACGTACGTCGCACGCCACCTGCAGCGGCTGCACGCGCTGCTGGTCGCGCACGCGCCGCGCCTCGACGAGCGGCTGCACCGGCCGCGCCACCACCACGGTACGTACGTCGCACGCCACCTGCAGCGGCTGCACGCGCTGCTGGTCGCGCACGCGCCGCGCCTCGACGAGCGGCTGCACCGGCCGCGCCACCACCACGGTACGTACGTCGCACGCCACCTGCAGCGGCTGCACGCGCTGCTGGTCGCGCACGCGCCGCGCCTCGACGAGCGGCTGCACCGGCCGCGCCACCACCACGGTACGTACGTCGCACGCCACCTGCAGCGGCTGCACGCGCTGCTGGTCGCGCACGCGCCGCGCCTCGACGAGCGGCTGCACCGGCCGCGCCACCACCACGGTACGTACGTCGCACGCTGCAGCGGCTGCACGCGGCTGGTCGCGCACGCGCCGCTCCTCGACGAGCGCTGCACCGGCCGCGCTGTACGTCGCACGCGCACGCGCCGCGCCTCGACGAGCGGCTGCACCGGCCGCGCCACCACCACGGTACGTACGTCGCACGCCACCTGCACGTACTGGTCGCGCACGCGCCCACCTCGACGAGCGGCTGCACGCGCCTGTACGTACGTCGCACGCCACCTGCAGCGGCTGCACGCGCTGCTGGTCGCGCACGCGCCGCGCCTCGACGAGCGGCTGCACCGGCCGCGCCACCACCACGGTACGTACGTCGCACGCCACCTGCAGCGGCTGCACGCGCTGCTGGTCGCGCACGCGCCGCGCCTCGACGAGCGGCTGCACCGGCCTCGCCACCACCACGGTACGTACGTCGCACGCCACCTGCAGCGGCTGCACGCGCTGTTGGTCGAGTTCATAATTTATGCTTTCTATTGGTAAATTAATTTTCTAAATATGTTCTGTAGAGCCCGAGATAACATCACAACCTCACAAAGTCACAAACGTTACCTCTTTATAATCTGCTCTAAATATAACCGCTCTTTATACTAAAGACTATCCTAATCGTGTAAAAGGGCATTTTTAGAAAAGTTGGTAATGCTAAGTAGCCAACTATTATATAAGTGGCAAAATGATGATCAACTAAATATGAATAAATGTTTTTAACTTTGTCTTTATTTGCCCCGTACAGAAGGCACGAGTATGGAGGAGCGTGAAGCAGAAGCGGCTACGCTGCGTGAATTGCAGGAGGCCATGTTTCACTTAGAGCACGGACACCGAACCTACCGAAGATCACTAGCCAGGGAGACCAAGTATGGCAGCAAGTAAGTACAAATTTAGTCCATAACACATTTCCCACCAATTATTATAATAGAATTAAGCGATTATTTTTAATTAAGAAAATACAAATTTGTTTACTTAAAGTTTATTTTATACAGGCAAGCGCCAATAGGCGACGACAATTACCTGCATTTAGCCGGAGCCTCGGACAGCGTCGATAGCCAGTTCCTTTGGCGGCCGTGGCGGAGCGATATTTCACCTACCGTAGATTTGGACGGTACGACGATACCTATGCAGTCGTCCCTCGACATCGGCTCCAGCACGGAATCACTGAGACTAGCTCGGCACGGTGACGAGCGGTCGTCCGGGAAGTCCACCAAGTCCACCGGCAGCGGCTACCTCACCATGTCCTGCCTGAAGCACGAGCCCTCCGAGGACAGCGACGGTTCCGCGGAGAAGCCCGCGCGGCCGCCGAAGCCGGCGCGCCTGTCGCCCGCGCGCGCGCCGCGCTGCGAGTACGTGCACGTGCAGCCGCGCGCGCGCCGCCCCGACCACTTCCGCTGCCAGGAGTACGAGCTCATGACCGACTTCAGCACGCACGCCCGCCCCCACGACGACGCGCCGCCCGCCGTGCCGCCGCGCGGACACACGCCCGCCCGCGCCAGGCTGCACCCCAAGCCCGAGCTCGACCTCTCCAAGTCGGTAGACGACCGCTCCACCTCTTTGTACGGCGCGCTGTGCGGATCTACGGGCAGCCTACCGAGCGACGAGATGCACGACGATGAAAACGAATGTCTGCTCGATAAGCGAGACGAACATCGGTTGAGCAAAATAGATACGGTCTCGAACGACGACAGTCTACTCGACGAGCTTCAAAGAGATACGTATTGCGTTCTGAAAGTCTGCGAGGACGACCCTCCCGAGGAGGAACAGAAAAAAGATGTCGTCATGGAGTCGGCCGACAAAAAGGAGAAAGAAGACTTCGGCGTGTTTTCCAGAATAAGCATCCAGAGAAAGTCGAACCCGAATAAAACTCAACCGAATTCAATAAAACCACTGAAGACGTCGAATTCGACGTCGAACGTCCACGACGCCGGATCGACGTCGTCGCGCCCTCTGTCGGAGCGTCTCACTCCGTTCTTTCTCAAAAAGAAACCGAAACCCCCGGACGAGTCTACGGCGGCCAGCAAGAGCGGGCGCAAGGAGGACAATCTCATCGGACGACTGACGCCACGCTTCGGGCAGTCTCGACTGTACGGACGCGGACAGTCGCTCGAGCTCGCGCCGCCCGAGAGCCGCACCAAGCGCATCGAGCGGTCGGCCACCACCGTCAACATCCCGCGAGAGTCGAGGCACATGAACTCGTCCATAGTGGCCAACCTCAAGTTTCTCAGCCTGCATCGGTACGGTGCACAGGAAGACGTCCAGTGCCGGGCGTTCGTGCGCACGGACGCGGAGGGCGCGGGCGCGGCGGGCGCTGCGCCGGCGGCGGCGGCGAGGCCCGACGGCGCGGAGGGCGCGGCGACCTCGTCGGCCGGCGCCGAGCTGGAGGCTGCCTCGTGGCGGCGCGCGCACGCGCCCTCGCTGCTGGCCGCCGCCACCACCGACATCCGCCTGTAGGGCCGCAGGGCCGGCGCCGAGCTGGAGGCTGCCTCGTGGCGGCGCGCGCACGCGCCCTCGCTGCTGGCCGCCGCCACCACCGACATCCGCCTGTAGGGCCGGCCGCGATTGGCCGGCGCCGAGCTGTTAAATAATGGCTAAATATTGGCGGCGCGCGCACGCGTCCTCGCTGCTGGCCGCCGCCACCACCGACATCCGCCTGTAGGGCCGCAGGATTAAAATATCAATGACGCCGAGTAATATGGAGGCTGCCTTATGGCGGCGCGCGCACGCGCAACTCAATTTTTCACGAGTAAGATGCTAAGTTTGCCGCCGCCATACCACCGAAACAGTCTCTGATGTAGGGCCGCAGGGCCGACGGCCTCCCGTCACGCGCCCGCGGCCGTCGACGAACTAACTAAACTGTGATTATTTATTTCTATTGTATAGATTAAAACAATTTGAAATATTTCGTCGAATTGAACCGTGTGAATATTCCTTTAGATTCGTAGTGATTTCTAGTGAAAATTATTTTTGTGTTAGTTTAGATATATAATATTATTTGATAGCGTAAATACTCAAATTTGTATTTTATTGTGTGACCTCGTCGTCGATTGGCGACCTCTCATTCCTGTAGCGTGTTAAATAATGAAATTCTAAATATTGTTCTAGAAACATTGTTTTCTATATCGGTGTCTCTCTTAATGTCCGATCTAGTGAGCGATATAAAATTGCATATTTTGTATAACGTATGTGTATTTGATAATGCAATAAAGAGATTAAAATATCAATGACATGATATTTTCAAAAATTTTGTAATATGTATAATTATTAAGAAATATTTTGGGTTGCTTATGTCGTGACAATATTAAAGTATTGCACTTTGATCGCAACTCAATTTTTGCACGAGTAAGATGTACTTAAGTTTGATATTACTGACTCATAGCCTTCATACTAGTTCATACGTGAAACAAAAGTCTCTGATGTATATTGTATGTGGTAATAAAAAACGGCCTTAATTATGCTATGGCGCCTATGATTACGGCCTTCGAGTTGTAAACACCACTAACTAAACTGTGATTCACTTTACAAACTTGGCTCATATTGTAAAAGTAGATTAAAACAATTTGTACATAATATTAGTCAGTCAATTGAAAATTGTCGAATATTAAAACCCATATGGGAGATACATTATAGGTTTCTTAGTGTTAATAATTATTTTTGTGTTAGTTTCGGATATATAATATTATTTAGATGTATAAACACTCAGTTTGTATTTTATTTACGTTGTTATCCTCCGAGTATGGAGGGATATTTTAATTTAACTATAATGAAAATAAAATAATGTACAAATTAATATTTCGTAAAAATATACATATTATGTTATTTATTTCACCTATTTTCATTTTGTTAATAAAATTTCACATAAGTATAAACTTGAATAGAGACTATTTTTTATTGTCCTTTCCTTTCAAAGTTTTATCATAATCGAATATGTCCAACCTACTAACATCGCCGTAACAGATATCGTCCAACTTAGCACTGGCGGTTTTTTGTATAAGAGTAGCTTTTAATCTTCCTTTGAACGGTCGATCTTTTATTTCAAATTTTCCAAAATTTAAATGTATTGGATGTTCGTAGAGAGTAGATGTTGCGGTCTAGGATTATATTTACGAAGATAATCCTAGACAGGATAGACGAATTCATAGAAGACAACATATCAAGTAAATAATATATTTATTTACAACGATTTATTTTTGAGATAAAATATAGACTATGTCCTTTCTCGCTTTTCAATTTCATTTCGGGCAACTTATTATTATTATATAACAATATTGGGCCCTATTATATATGCCTTAAAGAATAATATATTAGACTTTGTGTGTATCATTACGGCAATCTTATAAGATAGCAGCGGCAAACTCCCTTCGGCCGATAGTCTTCCTTCATAAAGAATATGAATATGTCTTCATACTGAAGCCGTGAAAAGGGATCAAAACAGATATCACAATTTCATATTTTAAATATTAATATAGTATGTATATAGATTAATATAAACTACTCGCGCTATGTTTAAAGATTTATAAAATTTAATACATATTATTATAATCAAAATCCTTTGATGTTTTTATTAACTAAACAGCTGTAGTCACGTAAATGCTTGGTATTCGATATTACGGGAGTTTAATCCAAATAATTTGTTTACTTCTTGTACATACATTTTATAAATATTACAACATATTTTTTATTAGAAATCCTTGGAATGCGGAGTTCAACATTCAACTATTTGGCGGTATAGCTTTTCTTGTTATGTTTACTTACTGTTTCTAATTTAAAATTGGATCTGGCAACACTGATGCTTGTAATTACTTAGCAGTACGTGCATTTAAAGCCGTAAAAAGCAAGTCTATCTGATCTGTGGTAAAAACAAAAAAAAATAAAGCTAACCTATATTCATCTAAATATCCGCTATTACATTATAAATATATTATTATTTAGACATAAAAGACCATTTCAACTTAAACGTAAACAGATTTCAGTGATTAACAATGGCAGATTCAGTGAATATGTCTTTGGGTAAGACCTTTTATTAATGTTAACTATATCAAACATTTTTAGCCATTTTACCTCTATTTTAAAATACCCTATTTATTCGTCATATATAGCTATATTATCATTGTAATATTTATGTACAAATTGCTATTTATATCATTCTTTTATTTAATACATGAACAGATGTCACGAAAGTGACGTGTGTTATAAAAATAGCACAATATGTTTTCATTCAATAAATATGTTGACATATATTTACAGATGAGATAATCCAACAGAATAAACAGCTACGAACTAGTAGATCTCGTGGAAGAGGTGGAGGTACGAATAGAGGCCGTGGAGTGGATCGTGGTGGAGGTCGAGGTAGACCAGGTAGAGGTGGAGGACGCGGACGCGGTCGTGGTGGCCGGGGGCGTTCACAGTCACGTGCCAATACCCCATCGGGTAGACAGGGTCGATCTCGATCCCGTGGCCCAGGAGGACGCTCTCAATCACGGTCTCGTTCACAATCGCAGGCACGCTCCCGCTCTCGACAACGCCGTAATTCTGTTTCACGAGGAAGATCAAACTCGAGATCACGTTTCACTAGAGGTCTCACTCCCAAAGGTAGAGCAGGCCTAGAGGAGCAACAATCTGAAATACCTCCATTAGTCAGAACTGGTAGATTTAACAACAGAGGTAAACAGATTATAATTTTTATTTGCATGGTTATGTATAAGTATTACTTTATTTGCTCACTATAATCATTTTTTAACTTTTAGGTGGACAGCAGAACAGATTGAGACGGTCCAATTCTAATCCAAATCTTTATGGCAGTGTGCATAGTAGACTTGGCATAACTACACGTCGAGGTGCAGCAAATCTGCGTAGACCATTGGCAGTTGCTAAGCGAGGCATTTCTAAACGTGGTCGTGGTTTGAGCACTGGTAACAGGTATAGTGCAGTGGGACTACGATCAGACCAAATTTTGAAAGAACAAAGACAGAATCTCCTTATGCATAATAATGTGATACGGTCACAGACATTCACACGATCTCGAAACAATTCTTTCAATTCTGCTTCACAACTAACAGTTAGTGTGGCAAATGATTTTGTCAATAGACGACGTAACAGTTTTGGTAGTTCAGGTTATTTAAATAGGCAGAGTTTAGCCCAACTTAATAATCAATTTGGTGGTTATAACACTCGAAGAGGCCCAGGAAGTGTTAAGTCATTAGGATCAAATAGATCGAACAGATCTAACCGATCAAATCAATCCAATAACAGCAAAAGATCAACAAGATCGCGTGGACGTGGCAGAGGAGGAAATCGAGGTATAGGTGGAAAATTTGTTAATAAACAAATACTAAATGCTAAACTGCAAAAGGAAATAGCTGCAATACAGGGAAAAACATATGGCAATAAAACAGTTACTGAGTCTCCTACAGGTGTGAACTTTACTCCCACTCCAGCCGCAACAGGACAATCTTTACATCAAAGATTTGCTAGTACATAGATTGAATAAGTAGATTAATATTAGAATAAGGTTGATTATAATTTTTGTTTAGTAAAAATGTGATTAAGGAGTAAGTAAACTGTTTTCTATAATTAATGTACCTGTAAGAAGTATTAGAGATAAACTGTTAAAATACAATCCTAACACCATAGCCATTGCTTAGGCAAGGAACAAAAACTTTTTACATAATACATATTTCATGGAACATGTTTGTTTGATTTTTTTTTTGTTGTTATGAAATGGCCTACAATTAATATATGTAAAAGTGTTACTGTGTATCTCTAAAGTGGAATTGCTTCATAACCAATTTTTTTTTACTAAATGATGTCTCTTATTTTACTAGTTTTTTTAATCCTGACATTATCAGAAAATCACTGATTTCAATTGTGAGAAGACACCAAATTTGATTTATAATTCTAAAAATATTTTGTTTGTCTAAAGATTAGGTTAAGTGTGCAAATTTTGATAAAACTTCGCATATTGTAAATGCAGGAGTATAAGGATATTTATTACCGGTAAATACAAAAATTTCCATGGTAAAGAAGTTGTATGATGATGTATTATCATTTTAATTCATATCATGGTAACATTGCACATGCAAATGTTTACATTGTTGTAATAGATGTTATTTTCAGAACATTGTGATCATTATGTATTTAATTCTCTATGTTATGGCTGCTAACTTTTTTATACTTACAAAAGTATTATTGTTATGGAGACATGGAGATAAAATAAATTCTAACAACAATTTGTGTATAAATTCTCTATGAGTATATAATAAAATAAAAATATAAAAATTATAACATTGTTTTTATTTAAATAGAAATATTATTTTATAAAATTATATAGTCTGCAATATTTTACATTTTGTATATTTTCGGCATCATTATCAATGAATCTGTAACTGAAAAAATACTATAATTAATTTATTGTTTCATATTTTAGAAATATATTGACTTTTATTAAGAAAAATATTTTTTGAGGAGTTTTTTACCATCAATTTAGACATAAATTATGTCCAAATTGATGAAATTGACATTAACCAATATAGAAGTAAAATCTTATATTAAAGAATTATTATTCTGTAACATAATATGAAAAATACTTAAATGTAATGATAATGTTATTATGTATTGCTTACAATTTTCTCCAAGAATGTTACTCAGTATTAGTCCATGAAATGACTGTTCTTGAGTGTGAGATTTGTCATTGCCAACCTCAGAGTTTTTAGAACTGTCAAATGTCCAACCAAGATGTTGTCCACAATGAGGACATGTACATATGCGCCATGTGTAGCCCGGGTACCAAGAGTCAGCACCTTGACGCTAAAAATAAAATGGTCCAGTTCTATATTACATTTTTTAACTATTCTAATGGCCATCACCATAACTGGGCTTTACAACTTACAGCCAGATGAAACCCCTATCAGTCAGTCATAGAGGGTTTGATTGGAGAGGTGCCAGAGGGCCAGAGTTCTTTCAATAATACTATAATAGCTTATAATGCAGTATTGAGGGTTTGAGAAACTTACTGTTATTTGTGCTTTATTATAAACTCATTTTAATAGGTTATTCATATTAAGTGTACTAAAAAAAGAGATTAATATACTGATGGGCTGATCAGGAAAAGGAGAAACATACTATGCTGGACGCCAAAATTACTATGATTTCAATGACTTACAGGTCCTATGTTATCACATCTTGCTTTCTCTGTTGTAACTATTTCAAATTTTACTCCAAAAGGATTCACTAATGTTTGTACTGTAACATTTTGTTTCCCAAACAAGTTTTGTTTTTCAGTCTTACGTGATCCTGGGCTTAATTTACTAAACAGGTAATAAGAATCTGCAACGTCAGCTCCACACTTTCTACATAACAGCACCTCTGAAATATTACACGAATTATTATCAACTTATCTGATAATTTGGTCTGGAATAAACATGGTATTCATTTTACCTTGTTTATTATTTTCTGCTTTTGAATATTCTTCAGCAAACGTGTAATTAACGGAAGCGTATAAATATAATAGCAATATATGAAAAATATAAAACATGCCTTCTAAAATTGCAAGCAATACACTATATAAATAAGTATAAACAGTTATACTTTTGTTTACTATTGTGGGTTAAAATTATACTGTACAGTAAAAATATATTGAAAGCTGAAAATAAATTAAGTTGTAAAACTTGAACAACTAATAACGTTTCATTTTTTGGTTGTGTTATGTTTGTGTGATAGATAAATCAACAAAACCAATCTATATACAGACATTTGTACAGATTTAAGAGCTTTGACAATGACAAGCGAACAAAACCTAACTTTTTAATTTTTACGGCTTAAAATGTAAGATATTTTGAACTTGTTTATGACGGTTAAAATATCAAATTTATTATTATACTATACAATAGTTCTAGTTTAAACAAATCGTCGTAGCCTAGAGATTTACTTCCCTAATTTACATCGAAAATATCGTGAACTTCACTTTGAAGCTAACGCTATAACTTTCTATCCAAAAGAAGAAAAAAAATCTTTCTATCAATGTCAAAGTCATAGATTAATACAATTATATCTACATTCATACATTGTTTGTTATGAAATGTGAAACACTAAGAAATATCTTGTTTATTGACAGCAATAAATAATTAAATCAGTGTTATTGATAGCGAAACTGCTATTTTTTTTTATTTTTCGGTCGCTGATAATTTAGGCAGGCAGTAAGTAAAGCGAAAATGTCATTTTTTAAGAATGTAGCCTCTGGCTTCAGCATTCGTAGCCGTGATTCTATTATCAAAGAATCTTTAATAAATAATCTATCTGAATGCGTAAAAGACATACAATACAATAATCAGTTTGAAGAAAACTTCCACAGCGTCCTAGGTTCCAATGATTCCACTAATACGCTGTGCTCGGCATTGGAGGCTGTTTTTCTGCACGGTTTAAAAGATACTTTCTTTAGAAAAGCAAAAAACGCATTATCTGGGGATTCAGATCAACGTCCTGAACCTAATTTTTGGCCTTTAGTTCTGGTGCTGTCACATCGACAGAATATTGATCAGATCTCTTCATTGCCCCAGATCAACACAGAAATAGGTCAATGTCGGGCTTGGCTTCGAATCGCTCTCAATGAATGTCTTCTATCATCTTACCTGTCTACATTATTAAAAAACATATCTGCTGTAAAGCCATTTTACACAAGGGCAGCATTTGTATCAGATACTGAAATATTAGAAGTAGCACAAAAGCTTATTGAAGGTTTGGAGTCATGTGTGCAGTTTAATTTGCCGATAAATTCTAGTCTGCTTAATCAGTGGCCCGAACAGGTATTGATGCTGGCTGGAATATGGGTACCTAAAATCAGAGTTGCACCAATAAGTACAGCCTTGGATGTGGCTAGTACAATGATAGATGAAGAGACAAAGCCCAAATTGGTGTCAACTCCAACTCACTCCTCCAACATTACTGGCTTAGGTCGCATGCTCTCACTTAATGAAGATGAGGCATTAGATTTCATATTATCTAAAGATATAAAAGACATCACAAGTAGTCCCACATCCTTACAAGACATTAAAATACCTGAGGAAAAAAAAGATCACCCAAAAGAAGAAACATTACCACAGACTGTTGATAAGAAATCAATTCCTGTGGAGATTGAGAAACCATCTACAAGTGACGCTCAAAAACCAGATGTCTCTTTGTCATCATCATTAAATTCAGAAGATTTTGTGGCTCCCACTGATGTTAATGTAACTGGCAACTCTCTCTCTGGCAAGGGATGGTCAGACAATCATGATGACCTAAACACATCTGTGCATTCCAACTCATCACATGGCAGCAGCATGATTAAAACACCTGAATTAAAGAGCTTGTCTTCATTAGTTGATAACACGAATCCATTCAGTGAAACTAATGCCACCACTCCTAATTTACGAGATATCATAAAAGATATACAAAAAGAACTGAAATTGACAGATGACACAGAAATATGTGAAATACCAGAAGAGACTGCAACACCTGAAGACCCTCTATTACAAGGATTAGATTTTGAAGTTGTCCCTAATTCTATGTCGGGGTCATTTACTGTACCAGAATTACAAAAAATGATACAACAATTAGGTTTTCTGTCTAGAGAACAAGGTCTCGACCACCAGAATTATCAATGCAAGGGGTGTCAGGATTTATTAGGAAGTACAATATCAAAAGCCAAAGTGTGTGCCTTCACTGGAGATTATTACTGTACAAATTGCATGGACCCCAATGTGTTTATAATTCCCGCCCGTGTTGTACATAATTGGGACTTCAAAAGATATGCAGTGTCAAAAAAGTCAGCATTATTTTTGCTTGAGTTTCAACATCATGCTTGGATTGATATGAAAAAATTGAATCCAAAGATTTACTGTGGTGTCTCTGATATGGCCCAGTTGCAAGAATTGAGAATACAGTTGAATTTTTTGAGAGCATACATATTTACTTGCAGGGAGCCTGTTATAGAGGATTTGCAAAAGAGAGTCTGGCCCAGGGAGTACCTGTATGACCATGTCCATCTTTACACAATTTCTGATCTAGCACAAATACCCAATGGTTCCTTAGCACTGCAGTTAGAAAAAGTTGTTAATTTTGCGAGAAGTCATGTGTTAGATTGTTGGCTGTGCAGTCAAAAGGGTTTCATTTGTGAAGTATGTCAGGATCCAAAGATATTATATCCTTTTGAAACAAGTAGCACATATCGTTGTGATGATTGCTCTAGTGTATTTCATAGTAAATGTTTAAATGAAAAAATACCCTGCCCTAAATGCAAGAGGAGACTAAATCGCACAAATGAGCTGTCATTAGTTGATGCAGTGCATGCTCATTTTAATAAGTAAAATACAACTGCATTTTTTACAGAAATATGCATTTTATTTCTTAAAAAGAATTGCTTATGTTTATACAAATAATTTAAAAAATGGCCAGAAAAATACAAACATTTAATACTACTCCTTATACCAAATCCATATTTTTATAGGCAAAGTAAATTTAGTGTAAATATTCAATTATATTATTTATGACTGTGAAGCATTATAATTATATCATAATATAGATATTTTAGTTACTTAAATATTAATTTTTATTTATTACATTTAATAAGTATGAATTTGACTTTATAAAAAACAAATGTTAAAAATTTATGTGATATATATTTTGTAAAACTAATATGTGCAAAATGTAAAAAGCATTGTAGGAAGTTGTATTATGAACTAGGTACTGTCTCTCACTAAATTTACTTTAAATATATTATCTACATTGTACTGTTTTCATTATATGAATTATATCTATTCATTTAGTTTTTACTTATTGTAAAAATAGCTATTATTTTTAATTGTTATTATTTTATTTTTTTAATTATTATTTTTATAAAATTGTACAAAATGTATCATAGACAGAATTTATATTTTCAATTTGAAAAAGTGAAATTGTTCTGTATAAAACTATGTAGTGATATTATGAATCTTCTGATACATAGAATATTTTGCTATGTGGGAGGATATATTATCAATTCTGATGGTAGTAATAAAATGGCGGATACCACATCACACAAATAGATAAAATAATAATGTAACTCCGACAATACACAATTATTTCATGATCTTAAATTATTATAAAACCTTTATTAGCATGTAAATGTGGTGGGCCATCATGGTCATCAATGATTTTACCAGCGCAGTTATGATCTGGTCCATGAGGAAATGGAAATATGTATGCGCTAACAATCATGTTGCTTTGTGTGTTTCTAGTGCTGTAGGACTAAGAATCGAACTTTGCATATTATATAGAACGTCCAAAACATACTAGGTATCTGATGATAATGTGATATATACTAATAGGTAACCAAGATATTTTAGATTAAGTAAATTTTTTTTGATATGAGTCCTGATTTTACTCAATTCTATTCTTTCTTTACTGTTAAGTACGAATTAATTTTATTGTGGCTATAATATATATTATATACAAATGAATAATATTAATAAATTCAGGTCAATTGTAGTAATATTCTATGTCTTTTAGCGCCAATGTCCTACTAAATTCCAGAGCAACTAAAAGAGCATTATAAATAAATATAAAATAGTTTTTAAATGTGTTAAGTAGCTAGATAAATATGTACATTATTCTACATGCATAACATGCAGCATAGATATAAGTTTCGATATCAAATCTTTATTTTTTTACCTACATAATAAGCTTTTATTTTCCTTATTTTGTTTCTTTTTATTGTCTTTTTAAATATATATTTTGTTTTAATGACTATTGAATATTTTACTAAATGTATATGCATAATTCCTATGTAAAAGTTAATTAAAATAATAAAGAAAGTAAAACAATATTCTTTTTTATAATTTAATTCTTGTTTTGACATTTGGAAATTGCAATAAAAGTAGCTATACATATATAGTACTTAGTATTAATTATCTTATATAACATGAATCATCTGGTTCTGTTCAAATGGAGTATATCACTTAAATAACTACCTTCTCTTGTCGGCCGCTCTCTATATTTTTGTTCTTTCCGTTTATTTGGCTTGCCATCTATGTTTGATACATAACTTGATTCCTTTATTGAGAATTCTTCAAAACACTGATTTAAAAGATTATCAGGTTCATCTTGCTTGGTTTTATTCTTTTTCTTTGGCTGATAACTGAGACCGTCCTTATCGAAATCTAGTGGCACTATGCCGAGGTCGCCGCTGTACCGATTTTTAGCTACTTGTAAATATTTCTTTCCTCGAACTGCTGTTAGACGTTTATCCTATAACAAAAAGGAGTTTGATATTGATGATTGTCAGCGCCGTGGCCCAGTAGTTTACAGCCTCTATATACACCCAGGAGTACGAGAGTTGTGGCAAAAAAAGTTTATGTCAATTATATATTTTTGACTGATTCTCCGGCAATGGAAACAACAACATCAAAATTAAATTAATCCGAAAGTTAGTAGTAGGCTCGTCACATGCCACGATGTATTTATATTATAATGTTTCGTGTGGTTTTAATCACGATTTCGACAGTTGACTTACAAAACTATATATTGTAAATTAAGTAAGTAGGTACTATCTCAAAATAATATTGACGGTACACACCTGAACTATGAGTACATTGTCTGCCTCTTGTGATGCTTTAGCGCTGCCGAATATTGAACTGGTCGACAGATCTTCTGATTCACGTTCCTATATATAAACAATTAATTAGAATTCAAAAACGGGTTTTAATTAGAAGCCTGCACTGGGGTGGAGTAACCTGACCTTATTGGTCACAGAGCTACTCCCGGCTGATGGCAGAAAAATGTACCATGGATTAAGTACATAATATGTGAAACTGGTGTGCAATGAGTGCAAATAATCCTACTTAAATGTTTGTTTCAATGTAACCCAAACATGATTTATCTGAACGGATTGACGTAGGAACGATTTTATAGAAATATAGAAATAGCTTTTTAGTTGAATTAAAATAGGCGGCGCTGCGGGACGTGGTAAATATATGTAAAATAACTTGAAAACAAACCGAATATTTTTTTTCGGAATTCTATAATGCTGTTGGCCGTAGCTGGCCTTTACAGCTTTACAGGATGACGGGAGGAGATAAATGACACTCCAAACCAGCGGAAGGACTCATGGAGCGGCTGAAGGCCAACGCCTGTCTAACGTCGCTAGAGGTTTAAACATCGGCTCAGGCCGTTGTAATTTCGATCCCCGTTTGAACTGGACGGTGGATCGATCATAGAAACGACAGGGGGCAGCGGTATTACGAATAAAAGCGAATAATACCTTTCTGGGATGCATGACTAGCGTGACGTGGCAATGTCTGGCGGTGGCGAATGTTCGAAACGCTGCAATAACGGCGTCTTGTCTATGGTAACGATCGCCGTCTTTCTCCTCACTTAAGCCGAGCATGAACTGTACGTTGTCTATCACTACGTGAGCTATGTCGTGCATATACCGCGCGTGCTCCACTGCCTGTAAACATATTATACATAATTATACTATTAGATTGATGGTTGCGGTTTAGCATATCGTGTTGGTATGGTAAACCGCTAGACAACCGAATGGTTTCCGATAGTCGCAGGGTCTATTTCATTGCATAGTACAAACATTGTATTCCTGATTATGAGGCTTTGTCGGTCTGCGTATTTTCTATTCATAATATGTATATAGTAAAAAAGGAGTATGTATGTATTTATATCATTTCTCAAATACCCATAAAATAAGTTCTGATCAGCTGTGTGAATTATCCTAAAAATAAGATCTTGCCATATTTGCTCTGGTAGTTGCTGATGTAATTAATTAACTGAACACTTCTGTGGTAATGCTCTGCAGAAAACTTTAAACTTAATCTCTTAAACAATGACATATGCTGTAATCTGTATCTATTATTTTTATAACATCTAATTCACGTAGATCATTTTATAATAAGTAACCTAATTACAAAATGTCAAGACTCAAAATTAAGTAATTATATACGTAATTTATATTGACGACCTCGGCGATGTTTAGTACTGTGTAGCGGTATCACTTACAATGATCGTGGGTTCTATCCCCATACAATATTAATATTTGTAAATAAATAATATTAATATTGTAAATAAAATACAATATTAATATTAATATAGACATTGCTGTCTATATAGACCTGTATGAAGTAACATATAGTCAAACTTCCTTGGTTGGAAGTTACCATATTCGATCATATAATTTTAACCGCTAAATTATGTTAGAATTCAGAGTGAAATCCTATATATAAATACCTCCATAACAACTTTGATGGGTTGCTGTCCATGAAATGCTAAATAATAAATATTCAATTTCTGAAATTCATCTGCATATTTCTGGAAGTCTTGTAAGTTCTGTTCTAAAGGTATGCCTGCAAACTGCTGCAGCATAGTGCGAGCCAGACGCGAGTTACGGATTTCGAAGCTTCCCCATAATGTGTTTACCTAAAAATGGGAAATAGTTGGGAAGTTATTTTGGGAGTTATTTTGAAGATTTTGGGAGTTAATTTGGTTACTACCGTATTGTCTAGTGTCTAGTCTATATATTACATACGAATACTAATAAATGCATTGCAATACATTATTAAGAATTTGTATGTACACAAACTTCCAATAGCATAATGTGACTGTAATAGTCTGTATCTGTTAGTAGTTGTATCAGACTTCAAAAAAGGTATAATTAAAATATAACTGACGACCACAGGTTGATACCGTAGAATACAAGGAGACGAGACAATAGGTGTAATAATAATTTTATTGTATTCTGAATAAATGACTATGAATATAAAATAAATAAGTCATAATGATCAGAGCAGACCAGTCCCTACAATCAACGCCTATTATTATTACGATTATTATTGAGCTAAGGTGGTATTTAATGTTTGCCTACGCCTTGCTGAGCTAGATCCAGTGACATTTCAGCACATAGTGTAGTTTTACCACAACCAGTGGGTCCTGTTAGTACTGTTAGTTCGCCCCGTCTATGTCCGCCCAGGAGACGTGCGAGGGCTGGGAAACGCCGCCATTTTACCCCTCTCGTCTGAAACGAAGCAACAACTTTTCATACAATTTCCTAAATTAATAGTTAGTAGATAAATCATAATTTTTAATTAATTTACAGGCTTTCCTACAAGTAGCAGCACAACATATGGGGAAGTTTAAAAAATGAAACTAACGCTGCACCAACAAATTTAGATAAAAAAAGATGTTATAAAAAATAAGGATGACTGTAACATTTAGAATGTTGTGACACTTCTTATTACCATATTTGGTATTAATAACAAATAAGCTAAAGTAATTTTGTAATTTCACTGGCTTTTCTCATTCTATAAGCGAAATACAGCTTAGGACACAAGCTGGTTGAAAGCTGAAATAGGTAAGACTGAGGTACCATCTTTTTTAAACTTTGAGAAAATGGCTAACCTAATCTCCGGATTTTCTCAGCAGACTCAACAAACGCTGACACACTTTTACGGAGTCAACCTCAGTAGTACCTACTTTCTATCACATATAATATCTTCTCTATTTAATGGATACTGTATAAGTATAATTACATTTTTATATTCTTTATTTTTAAGGGAATTGAAAATGAATACCTTTTCGATATTGCTAAGTTCAGCATATACATCATCGCGGATTGCTGCGAATGTAGTAATAGATCGATGGGCAGCAGGCTTTGCCTCGGATACTAGTGTTTTAAGCGATAAATTCGCAGTAGCCGCTTCCGTAGCTGTCACTAATCCATCTGTAGGCCTGGGAATATTATTGCTTTTTTAAACAAATAAATATATCTTCACCACTAGTATTCTAGTAGAAGAAGTAGAGAAATTAAAAACTGTTGATATTGTGATAAACTCAACACTAACTGCGCTTACATTTAGCATGGTATCTTTCCATCATCATAACCTGGATTAGTTCAGTGATTTGTTATCGAAAGTTCCATCACCATACATATTTAAAAAGATACAAAGACTTTTTTGGAATCAGCCAGATATGTTCTTATGATGTTTTAGTGTAAGTTGAGTCAATTAGGACCGCAAGGTTATGAACCTCTATTTTTTATTATAAAATGTATGTTTGCTGTGACCCATACAATCTGGACGCTATGATATTGTATAAATGACAAGTTCCGGACTGCTTTAAATTTGATTTCTTGAGTACACAATGCTTATATAAGTGTGTTCTGAATGTTTGGTTGTGTACACAAGTGCTAGCTTGTGTGTACTGAATAAAACACCAAATTCTAAAATACAATTTACCTAACAAATCGACATCTATCTTCACCAAGTTTCTCGGCCACGACACGCATGTTATCCCAATCACCCCAAAGACATAACTTCTGATATCCCTCCAGTACAGGTAAAACAATCGGTGGAAGGGTACAATTGGTTAGCCATATCAATGTTCCTAAAAAAATTTTAAATTTTGTAAGTATTTTCGACATGCAGTCTCTCTGGTCCAGTAGTTTAACATGCCGCCTAATAATGATTGAGGGTTTGATTCCTCGTACAATACAAACATTTGTATTCATGAGTTTGATTGTTTATATTGGTCTGGGTGTTTTCTGTGTATTATGTAGTTGCATGTCTTTAGGTATTTCTTAGAGTTGTTTAATACACTTAATACAAGCTATGCTTAGTTTAGGACTAGTTGGTGCTGTGAGAATACTTCTAGGTTGTTAATAGTATAATTATAAAAACATGATCATAATTAATTTAGTAAAATAAATTTTGTTCCATATCCCTCTTTTTATGACAAATAAATTTACCTGCATCATCATCAACTATAATCCATGGGCTATAGTGATCAAGTTTTCACTTATATAAACAACAATCTAATCACTGATCTCATTTAGGAGAAAAAGAAAGAACAGTACAAACTTTAAAATGAATCGAAACAACAGATTTCAAAATACAAATTTGTGAATTTGAGTTTAGAGTCCAATTAGAAGTATAAGCTGATATAAATGAGTTTATACATTATAAATTTAATATATAGTACAAGTTTTATCATTACCAGGAACTTTCTGTGCTGCTAAATTTAGTACATCTTGTATAGTTGGTACAAGAATGGCCTGATCACTACGTCCCACTTTTGGTACTTTGCATGAGTATAAACCAGCAGTGTGGAGACCAAAGTGTTCTGGATCATCCTCCTTGCCAGCTTGAACTTTACGATAACCGACTATGTTGTCTATTGTATTTTTTAAAGGAAAATATAATGTTGTGTGGTCAGGTGATATTCGGACATCTGCCAATATTTTATTTGTGTCTTCATGATACTATAAAAAAGTAAATAATTTCATTGGTAAGATTGATTTAATTTTTCTTAACTTTACAAAGTTAGTACTTTGTACAAGTTATGTTATTTTTGTCTCATCTATATCATTAAACAACTTTTTCTATTGAAAGAAAGAAAGAAGAAAAGAAAATTATCAATGCTTTACAATATAAACAAAACCAAACAAGAAAACCAGATGGAATAAAATTAAATGTATATATAATAAAACTTAATTAAACTTATTGTGAGCTGCCTTTTGATTTAAAGCCTGATATCTGGCTGTACAACATTGAAACAATACTTTTGTCCTCACGAATGGCAATGCAAAATATCATTCTATGATATTATAATATGATACAATCAGTACCTAATATACTAATATAAGTAAGTAAAGAAATACTAACAGGATATTCAAATAGTCTACATAAGTCCAACAATTCAGTTTCGTTTAATTTTGACACAGACTGAGTTTCATTGACAATAACTTGCCAATCATTTTGGACTTTCTCATAATCTTTATGATAAGTTTCTCGAAACTCTTTCAAGAATAATTCTCCTTTTGTCTTTTTGAGCAGTCGTTCCAGAACATTCCAATTACCATGGATGTTGCACTTAGGACACAAAAAATAACCTGTAAAAATAATAGATGGTATAAGATATTAATATTTAGACATTATTATCATAACTGTCATACTCTATAGTGATATTTAGATTATACAGATTAATCTATCAAATAGTTAAGATTTAATGTTATTTTTACCAGAGCCAATTTTATAAAAATTTTGAGATTTTGCCATTTATAACATGTCAAAATCTGTAAATTAACAAATATTGCTTGGATGAATTGTACATTAATTTAATAATTATACAATTAAAATGTATTAACATAGATTTTTTTTAGTAAAACACTAAAATTATTTATTCATTTATATTTATTACAAAAATTAATGACCAGCATGGAAAAAAATTATATTAATATAATACAGCTCGATAAGTCAGAGCAATAATTTTACAAACATCTGTTCATATTTTTTATAAAGCATGATCTAGCAGTTACAAATCTATAAAACATGTGTTTAATTACCAGTAGCTTTATTTATGTATATTTTGTTTGCTGTTGCTTTCTCTTCTCCTGAACATAATGTACATTTGGATATAAATGAAGTAAAACCATCTTGAACGGCAAAGCCTTTTTGTCGTAGTATTTTTCGAATATCGGTCACTGTTATCTTAGGTATATCTTCTAATCCTACATTGTGTATGTTTCTGATGTTTCTGTAGATGCATTTACATTTACAAACATTTAAAAGTGTTTTTAATGATGAGTATCTTTTTGTACTTAAACATTGTAACATTTTAATATAAATCCGCTTAAATATATTCAAAAAACGAATATGTAAATATGATAAATAACCTAAAATGATAATGAGATTACAATACAATTATCAAAATAAACACAACAGTTTATTTTTTTCTGGTTCTGTTTATCCTTCATCGGAAAGGCAAAGGGAACTGTGCCCATACAGCCATCACAACAGTATACTGTTTGACAATGGAATGTGACATCTACTTTTTTTTGTTGGCTACCTTTTAACGTTATTGCAAAGTGAATGGTGCTCATACAGCCATGTCTGCATTTTTACGATGTACTTCGTTTATATATATGTCTAGAATTGTTGAGATAATGCCGTACAGTGCAAAAAAATATTGAGTTTCTTAATAGTTCCTGAAGAGAGCGAGGCTCGCCTCCCACTATGGCAGACCACAAGCGGTCTCCCGGACAGAAGAACTCGCCATATAGAATAACCCCGACCTGCGATCCCAAGTGCCAAAACATCGCCGCACAACGACCTTTCTTCCGGAAGAGCCGAAATCCGCTTTTTAACTATAATATATACTTTTGAATATATGACATACGGGAAAAAAAACCCATACAGGCATATTGGATTTTTTCCAGAATGACAGTAATATGCGTGTTTCGTCAAGCCTTTTAAAGTGATATGATCCCTTCGATTTGCGGATGTCACAGATAGATTCATTGCGTATCGGACCCCGGCTATTTTATATTCGACAGATTTATACGAAAAATTAGAATGTCTAAATTACTAAAACAAAATATAATTTAAAATCTGGGTATTTCAACGAACAATCTATCTAATAAATATACTTATATATATTTCAAACAGTACCATTGTCTTAACAGCTTTCCTACTTATCATGTACTGAAATCATAGTAAATTAAGTAAATTTATTCTAAGAGAGCTGTGTCCTAAATTTCTTGTATTTTTATGAATTTTACGACTCCTCCTATACCAAAAACAATTCTGTAATGTTACACTTTGTCCTCCTTAATATAGTGCGTAATTTGTGGATGTCCCCTTTATATGTTATTTGTAATTACCACTCATAATAAGTGTATAAAGCTTCGTTTAAGATTTATTTTATCATTCTTTAACTATGGCTTAGCATGGATATATGGCTTGCAGCATAAGTATCAAGCTCTATAATTAAGTCGGTCTATTTTAACTCTATATAATATATTACAATGCAGATGTTACAGAGTATTTAAATACTTTTATTATAAGATTGTAAGAATTCTGTAATAAACAACTGGTAATTATTAATTTAATAATGTTAACAGTCAGGGTAATCATAATAAAAACAATGAGTATATAAATGAATTTTCATTATTTTTCTACAGTCATATATTTACAAAAACCAATATTTACAATGTATGCATTACTATCAAATAAATGACAATAAAATTATACTTACCCTACATTTATATAAATAATAAACAGTATTCGAAAACACGTTATTTGATAAGACAATTTGATTTCTTATTACAAAGACACCTTTATGCATACAAAAATGTAAACAATATTTCGTCAATAGATCTAGTATGATCTAAAATAAATCTTATTGTTTAGTGTATAGATAAAATTAAAGATCTGTTTGATTTAGTGTTGCATCTGCAAACTTACATAATATCAATAAGATACTTTATCCTTTAAAATCATGATAACTTTTATTTAATCAAATAAGTTTATAAACACTAGTCAATGTATAAAAAAAAGTTACTTTATAATACAATATGTAAATATAAAAGCAAAAAAATATTTATAAAAACAGAATAATATAATAGTCACGATTTCCAAAATTTTATTACATAAACATTTCAGCTATCGTTATGTAATTTTCCTAAAGGTCTGGTAACACCGCCTGTTATATAGGTCCCTATTAATTAGACGCTTAGCTAGACGAAAAAAAATACCCACCGTTCCCATAACGTCGTGTCGGTTTTTCTAATGAGATACATTCTTAACTTAAAAGTACAAGACAATATACATAAATGATTAAAATAGGTTTGTAAGGAGATTAAAACATTTTATGAGATGATTAGTATTGCGGGGGGTATTGTTGCCGTTGTAGGTGCTGAACGAGCGGCGCTTGCTGTTGTTGTTGTTGCTGCATGGCTAACATCTGTTGTCGCATGCGTTGTTCTGTCATCTGCTGTTGATATTGAGCGCTCTGTTGGGGCTGCATGCCACGAGGGTACGGCGGTGCTGGACCACCCATCCCGCCCATCGTTACGTTTGGTGCCTGCTGTGGTTCAAAGACAATTTAATGTCAGTCATTTATTGAGCAATGTGCGTCTAAGTTAAGAGACCTTCGACAGAGAGCATAAGAACTTGATTCAAACCTTCTTTGAAAAGAAGTGAATGAAATGAAAGTGTTTAAATAAAATTTTATTTTATTCAACTACCAATTTCTTTTAGTTATCATTAATAAAAATTACTAACCTGCATGTATTGTGGTCGAGTGTTTTGTCTCTGTTGCGCTAAGTAGGCTTCTTGTGTCGCACGACCACCCATCATGTTCTAAAAGTAAATTGTTAATCAATTTATACAAAAATCAACAGAGTATTGTTTTCTTTGGTTCTCGGTAATCAAGAAATGGTCTTTTCTTACTTACAAAGAATTCATAATATTATTGTTTAATAAATTTTTTTTATTACTTTATGTTTATATAATGAATGATACTAGAACAAAAAAATACAAATCCATGAAATGGCTGAACCAAAAAATACATTGCCTGACGAATTAACTAACACCATCAATAACTCTTCTCTATTATTATAAAAATGTATCAGTTACCTGTTGGAATGTTTGTTGTCCTGGGAAGCCACCCATAGCATTGCCGCCTTGTGGGCCCATAGCATCCCGATTGTTCATAGCCCCCATACCACCACTTTGTCCCATTCTCCCCATTTGTCCCATAGGTTGTCCCATTTGGTTAATACTTTGTCCCATTTGCCCCATACCCTGAGGCATTTGAGTAGGCTGTCCCACGCCTTGGTTCATTTGACCTACATTCTGTCCAATAGAATTAACTCCTTGACCCATAGAATTCACTTGTTGTCCCATTTGATTTACACCCTGTCCCATACCCTGAAATTAAATGTTTTTTATTTATGCCTTGAAAAAATAATTCTATGAAATTGTTACTGAAAAGTGACAACGCAGGGTTTAAAATATTTTACACAAGGTATATCTAATAATATCAAAACATACCAATATTCGAGTTCTATGACCAATCCATACCAAGATTTTGATGAAATTTGATTTTGGTATAACATAGGTAAAAAAACAAATATAACAATAGGCGTTTATAGAGAAATTTATCACATACCTGATATCTATATATATATACATACCTGATTCATCATTTGCTGTTGACCACCCTGCATCATCTGTTGACCGTATCCACCATATCCCTGTTGCATACCACCATATTGTCCACCAAACATCTGTCCTCCCATACCGCCCATCTGAGCCCCACCCATCTGAGCGTTACCCATCTGCGCGCCGCCCATTTGCGCACTGTTCATTTGTCCGGCACCCATTTGGCCAGCGCCCATTTGACCCGGCATTTGGACTCCACCCATTTGCGACATAGGTCCCATACCACCCATTGCACCCATTGGCGCAATTGGACTGTAATTGTAAAACAATAACATTTTTTTAAAAAGCTAAAATCAAAAATGGTATATTAGGGTTTCTTAAAGGTCGACGACATGCATGTGACACTCCTGGTGTTTCAGGCTTCCATGGGTAATCATAGATAAACGTTTACCATCAGATGGGGCGTATGCTTGTTTGCCACCTATATATAGCATATAAAAAACAGTTCAAAGTGTACTATGTAACTGAATATATCGCTAGTATTTCTCCATGCCAAGAGACAACAGTTGGTATAATAAGACATTTCCAATAAAACCATTCTCAAGACAATTGATACACATATTCCCAGTTCTTGGAAACATATCTCATTTTGAGAAGAATGGTCAACATATTCAAAAAAGTAAAATATATTTTTGAAGACAATGTGTTGACAGATAAGTGTTGAAATTACTTTTACAATCTAACTTAACATAAAATATCTATCCACTGTGTCGTAATGAGCATTTCTTTACATAAAAAAATATACAACAAAAAATAGTCATTTAAAAGTGTTACTAGTAAATAGTTTGATTTTTTTCATCTCTGTAATTTTGGTAATTATAACTTAATTAAATATATACTTTATAAGCATATACTGACTTGGGCTGCATTTGACTGACTCCCATTTGATTAGGCTGCATCTGGCGCATACCCTGACGCGGATACGGAGCTCTTGCGTGTGGTGCCCCTGGATAGCCGCTTCCCTATGAAACAAGTAATGGGTTTATTATTTATAACAGGTTTATACGGGAATCTCATTACATTAAGGGGTTTCACAAGTCATAAATGTTAATTATATAATTTTTGTACATATAAAAGTGAGTTCAGTGGTGTTAGAGAGTTAGCTTAGAAGCTTTTGCAAACAAATAGCTGTCCATCTAAAATATTAATATCTCATCAAAAGGATAAGATATAAAAAAATTCAATGAAGTTGCAGATATGAACATTTCTTTCAACTCTAAATAAAATGTGCCATTCATTTTACAAATAACCATTTTGAATAGTAATATCCAGAAAATCATGTATAGATACAATAATTATTATTGATCTAATTAGTAAAGCGACGGTACCTGCATCTGCGCTATTTGATTGAATGGTAGTCGTTGTCGCAGCATGTTGCTGAGAGCCTGCTTCGATTGAGTGTTGGATGGCGGCGCAACTCCACGAGGACTCACACCAGCTGTGTAAGGCAATGTCGGTTTTATTTAAATAACATAATCAAAAGATAATCCACTTCAGTTTTAATTGGAAGCAAAATTGGAGCAACGTTCGAGTAAGTAAAGAATTTGATATCAGATTGAGTATTAAAGTAGTTATTGCGTATATTAAATACAAATATTTTATATCAGTAATTCAATTGAATACAATAGGGTTTATAGTCGTATGTATAATATTAGTCAATTTTCATACAAACATAATACAGTACAGTGTGTCAGTAATAGTTCTGGTAGCTTCATGTTGAGCGTGGCAGCGAGTGCGAGTGCCATTAGTGCACAAAAGTAGGAGTAGTCTTGAATATGGCACAGAAAAATGATCCTTAAGAGGGTTAGGCATCGCAGTTGTCGATAGTATCTTTATTCAATGAGTGACTGCAAACTACTGTTTTACAAAAGGCGTATGGTACAATATGTTTTATTGTTTAAGAATATTATATAGTTGTGTCTTAGATCAACGGTTTGATTTGATAGGGCATAAGGGTAAAAATATAATTGACCTGGCGGGTTGTAATAGTTTTGTCCGGGCGCTGGGAACCACTGCTGCGGTTGCTGCATGAACTGCGGCTGCTGGGCGGGTGTCGCCGCCATGCCGGTGGGGCCCGCGTTCGGATTCACCGGACCGTTTCCGTTCGTCTGAGTTCCCAATCAGCACATTATTTTTTTATACCTAAACTAGTATTTTACACCAAGTAGCAATAATCCAAAATAGTAATGCATTATTGACAATAAAACGATTACTAAGTATAATAGTTTTTTAAGAAATTATAATTGCAAATATATACTGTCACTAATCAGTAGTCACTAGTAATATTAGCAGTTCACACATGTGTGTTAATATTAAAACATTAATAAAGTTTTGAATGTTAATAGTTAATTAGAATATTATAAATCAAGAGATTCTTGTCGTATCACCGAATTGAACCAGATTTGACCATCGGAAGTAAGATGGTTTCACATTCTCATGTGATAAATGTGTGAATACTTTTAATGTTAAAATAATAATGAGTTACCGGTGTTGTGGCTTTCGGCTTCTTGATTTTTTTGCATGGCGCTGACCGAGATCGTCCTTTGCCTGCACCAGTGGGGCTAGAGTCCAAACTGCCATTATCCTGTTCAATTTAAACATTTATTTTTTATAGGAATTATATTATATACTATTTCCTTCCATTCATCAGATTGTTTATGGCATAAATGGTTGCAAAAACCAATTTTTACGGATGTGTTGCAGATCAACATATCCTACCTGTTAAGATTTCTTTCTAATTATTAATTAAAAATATTATTTCAGGAATAATTAACAATGGCTGGATCTTTTATTACTTTTCTGACATATTAATATAAATATGTGTACTAACCTGTTTACTATCATTTGTTTCAAGATCTTCAGGCGGCAGAGGCAGCGGCTCTAAATAATAACTCAGTGGTTTCACTAGACTGTGTGTGTGATATTTCAATAACCTGAGGATTTGAATACAAATCAAATGTATTAAAAGAATTCAATGGGTCTAACAAAATATTGAATGGGACAGAAATGTAAATGACATTAAGAAATGTAATCAGAATGGTGCCTATTAATGAAATATCTATTAAGATAATGTAAGCCTTGACAATCATCATTGTGCAGCAACGCTCAGAATATTTTTTTATTTCTAGAACTAATTACGTCGTAGGTATAAACGATATAAAAGAGTAACAAACATTTATCCATACTCACAAACTTTCGCATTTATAATATTAGTAAGATATAATGACTGTCTGTTGTCAAAACAAAGAGAAAAAAAAAATGTAGTTATTAATTCGTCTCATAAAAAGCCACAGATGCCCAGATATTTTCACTTACCTGTGTGCTGTTTCGTAAGTGAGAGGTTTCCTTTCAACTTTAGTGGCGGCGAACCACGCCCACGATAACGGCGCCGGGTTGCGACCACCCTCTACTAACTCCCAGCTGGATACGCGCTGTTTGTCCGTTAAACGAAGGCCCTAAACACGCATGGACATATATTTGTATAATAATTATAGCCTATATAGGTTGAGAATAGAGGAATTTACTTTATTTTATTGAAGGTTTTGGGCTATTGTCAGGTGCTAAGATCTGTAGCACTTCGACCGGCTGATATCTATTGTGCTCGCCTTTTTTCAAAGTTAGCTAGAAGCGATGGTTTTTATCTCCTCAGGATAGGGTGTATGCTTTCCAAAAGAGATATTTTGTTTTTGCTTGGAGAAGAAGGGGGGTGAGGAATCAATATTTTAACTATTTATTCTTTCTCTTGTTTGACTCTTTTTATTTATATTAAAAGAACACTTTGTATAAATGTCCTTAAGAACAGGTGGCCTTATCGCTACAAGCAATCTTTTACAGACAACTTGGAATTTGGAATTATAATAATATAATCAGATTGAATTAAAGTTAAATCTATTATATTCTTAAAGGTACGAATTAATAGGCTCACGTTACACATGGAAAGCACCTGTGCACTATTTATAATTTGTTTCAGTCACTTTTAATTTAACTTTTAAATAAATTCACCTTTAATTTTTTATTATGTAATATAAAATGTACACCAACCTGTTTTTTATCAGTGTCGAAGCTAATCTTGCTACTTGGTTCACATGCGATTACCTGAAATTAGAGATTTATGTATTGTTGTTTAAAAACTGTTACGGGAAAAATGCTAATTTAAATTATTATATAAAACACATAACTAATGTAGTGTCATACTACTTAGACGAAAAGGTCGTGATTTCGACTGTGTATCTAATTCCACATCTGTCTTACTCTCCAATGACGAAAAAGTAACTAGCCAACCTAATACATGCAGTGACTCACCCACTACTACGTTGTAAATATACACGACGCGTGTACTCAAGTGTAGCTTGCATCACGACATCGTCAGTTGATAATGCCTCTAAGTACTCTATATAGGATAGCAGGCGTGAAAATATATTAAATACTAGCTGACTTGCGCTACTTCCCCTGTGTCATATATTTCAATAAGGCCAATAGGAGCGGAACATCAATGTCAAATGTTACAAATTGCTATTACATAACCTTCATAAAATTATATTATTCTTCCTCAATAAATAGACTATCAAACATTAGATTAATATTCCAATTTAAACTTTAACAGTAGTTCTTGAAATTAGAGTGTCCTATAAAATCTACAAACTCTTCAGATTCATGATATTAGTGTAGAAAAACATACTTCAATTATAGCGTTCTTGGACAGAGGCAACAGCTGTCGCACCGCCTGCACGGAAGGCCCGTACCGGTCGCCGATCTCCTTCTTAAGTTTCTTCATCAGGTTTTGGTAGTGCTTCCTGTTATTGTCGTCACTGCCATCCGCTAACGTAGAGTGTATCAACGTCGCCAGCATGTCGATCAACGTTGTGAAGAGGTTGCTGCGACACAGGCTGTAACAAGGCATATTGATCTTGTTAGTATTCTACTCAGAAGCTCAGCCAGATGAGTCAGAACAAGCAGTGTCGTAAAACTGGCCCTAATAAAAAAAATATCAGATGTCGTTGAGAAAAAAATGTTTTTAAGTTTAATAAAATGTTCCATAGAAAAAAAATGTTGAGAAAATTATAGAATATAATAGAAATTATCTTTATTCAAATTTAATTTGCTTCTTAATATAAGCATTTTACGAATAGTCACGTTTTTTTTATTCTACCGCTCATTCGGAACGCAGACTCATCACAAGAAGAACGGTAATAAGAAAAAAGGTAGCTCCGATACACCACTGTATTGAACACCATTTCACTTCATAATATAACAGTCGAAACGACACACATTCAAAGCACTAACCTGTTGTTATAAGCGTCGATGACCTGGTGAGCGACCAGTTGCGTGAGCAGTACCGCCCAGTCCGAGGTGAGCTGGTAGGAGCGGCGTATGGCGTCGAACATGCCGCCGGCCAACGAGAACCGCAGCTGTAGGGCTTCGGGGGCCGCGTCGTCCTGCCACGTGTCGTTGCACGCCGACCTCTCGTGGTCGCGAGCGTGAGTCAGATAGTGCTGCAGCTGAGCGTGGATCGAGCTTAGCAGGCTTTCCTGTAGACAGCAAGCTTGTTTTTAAACCGTGACTCACTATATATGAAAGAAATAGCTGGGCCTGCGGTTTTACCCGCGTGAAATTTATAGCCTATATGTTATTCTGATGTACGTAGTAGGCTATATTACTAGTAAAGTTTCATCGAAATCCGTTCAGTAGTTTTTGCGTGATAAGATATATCGTATATATACTGCGAAGTGTATGTGGATGATATATATTTGGACAATATACGAATTCTATGATCGGTGCAAGCTACCTGTTATTATTATAATTAAATGAATAAATATATATGTAGTTTAATACTTGTCTTTCAGTTTCTATTCTGTACTTATTATGTTAGGTAGTAGAAATAGGACGGTCACCTTCTGGTCGTCCTGGTGCCGCAGACAGGTGAGTACGAGTGAGAGCAGTGGTTCGTTGGCGAGTCGCACTGCATTTCCTCCACCACAGCCACACGCCCCGCCGCAGCCGCCGCCACTCACGCCTCGCTTGCCGCCTCCTCCGCCCCCTGATGACCTGGTACCAATTAAATCAAAATAATGTGTTTATTTATTGCCAGAACAAAAGACACAGACATACATTTGAATTCGTAGACTGTTCAATTAAAAGAAAACTATAAAGGAATGAGAAACAGTAGTATCTCACACTGCATATTCTGGGCAAAAGGAGCTAACACAGCTGCTGCTGTGAGTGTAACGTTTACTCGTATGCTGCACAGCGCTGATCTTCAGTCAATCCCTCTTACATCGAATAAACTACAAATTATGCGAGCTGCTTAACAGTCCAAGGGTTTGTTCATCTTGGTGATATTATAAACATGTATGATTTTTAGAGCTACTAATGTTGTTGGTCGTTGTTGTTTACAATTTCACCGGACGATAGGGGCGAGCGCAGATTATAAACGCGAACGATTTATGGAGCGGCTGAAGGCCTACTCCTGATGGATACGACTTTAGTCTGAGGTGACCGCTAGGGGTTCCAACCTCGGCTCGGATGGATATGAGAAATAAGTCTAATCTACCGTCCGTTCGAAATGTAGTTTTGAGCGAAGAACTGACAGGAAACTAGATTATAAAATATTACAAAATAGAGTAATATTGGTTGAAAAATAAAACGAAAAGTAATTCAATTAACTATGGACATATTACATAGTGTGATAATAATCTTGTACAATCTCGTTTGTAAAGAGGAACAGCTAAGTTCCTCTTTTTAAAAGAGTTTGTATGATTGATTGTTGGTTTTGAAGTAAACAGACACAATGGCTACTAGACAAATAATAATCAGAATGAAATAAATTTGTTTGTATTTTAGAAAATGTATTCACAGAAAAATAACCAGATCAACAAACAAACAAACATATGAATATAAAAATTAGTGAGTACAAACATTGTTCGGAGGTCTAACCCACAATAAATAGACTGAGATCAATAAGATCGTTGATTTATATATATTTTGATGATTATAATTACCCTTTGTAACTGGGACTCTGGTGACTTTTGCAGTCTCTGTGCGATCCTCCCCCGCCACCGCTGCCACTCGAGCAACTGCCGCTGCATCCCGCACCCCAACCACTTTCTAAGATCTAAAATCAAAAAAGGGAAACAATATTGCTGAAATAAATATATCCTAAAGGTACAACACACCTTAATAGTTTCAGTATACAATTTACAACAATAATTTTTATCCCATGATGTACGTATTATGTAATTAAGTTGAAAACAAGATGTAAGTACCAATCATCTTACATAGGAAGGAAAGCGATTGTTAGTAATGAGGAATGGTGTTGTAATATAAAAAGTATAAGTAATTGGCACATATTATGTATACTTTATGGTCTATCGTACATATAATGATTATATTTACTACCTAATCTAAAGAAAATGTAATATACGTCATAATATATGTAGTAACGTCTACAGTACCGCCGACACCCCACTCCCATTAATCAGTAGTCCACCTTCATGAAGGTGGTGGCATGTTAGTGTATACTAATTATAAGTAACAAATAGTGTTGTATACCTGTCCAGCTTGCTTGAGCACGCGGCCCTGCACGGCGGCGGGCAGCTTGGCAACGAGCGGCGCCACCAACCACACAGACTCCGACCATTTGCTGGTGCTCACCACGCTGCGGTCCGTGCCCGTTCTATTTAGTGTGTTTAAAATAATAAATATATCTGTACATATAATAATCAGTGTACATGGAACATAAACTTAAACAACTGCAGTACAATTGTAATGTAAGTGCACAGCAACAATGTTATGATATTAAAACATTAACTGCGAAGAACAGTGTCTATGGTATTTTTGTTTGCAAAGTAACATTTAAATCCGGTATACGTGAGCTCTCATTTCTTATCTATAGCTACATCGTGCGGCGCCCATGGCCATAATACGAACTAGCAAAAAATGCGTAAAAGTCAGGATCCAATATATCCAATTTCACAAACACTTCAAGTTCACAATATTATAATAAATATTATATAGATTTCCAAGAGGGGTAGTATTCACCTGTCCTTGTCCGGCGGCGGAGGCGCTGGTTGTTGAAACACATTGATAACCGCCCGCGCGACCGTGTCCAACCACGCGCTCAGCTCCGACGATCCGCTGGGGAACTGCTTGAACATCAGCTGCAGGTCTAACCACGACATCCGCAGCGACCATTGCTCGAGATTCTGTTTCAAATTTGTAACAATTCAGAACCTAACTATATTTCTTTATACAAAATAGGATTTTGATTGAGTGCATTTTACCTCCAACAAACGGGTGATCATGGTTTTCTGATCGAGATCGGGATGAGTGTGGCTCGCTGAATCAGGATAACATATCATGTGAAGTAACCTATTATGGAAGATGTACAATTAATTTAACTGTTTATTAATTTTAGAAAAACATAGCATACATACACAGTTATTTTGTAATAAATAAATAAATAAATATTAGTGGATCACCCAATTATACATATGAGTACTCGTACTTCTCAAAATGTCATATGCTTTCAGATACTAAATAATAAATAATTAAAGGTTCTTTTGATTTGTGATAAAACAAGTTGCCAATTTGAAAAACCGTCACAAAAATTAACTTACTTGTTGACGCCGTAAATACCTTTTTCTACATACTATTTCCACAGTACGTACATTAGGATTCTATCATTGATTCTCCATGCGCACAAAGATGTTGCACTCAAGTTCAAAACTTATATTACATAGGAATATACATTATTACAGAGTGATAAACTATGTATATATTATATATCACTAAACAGTGGAGGATTTATAAAATCGATATAGGATTTTACCATCCCCTTAAAAAGTTGGAGTGATATGCTCGAAAAATAGAAGTATAATCGGACCGCAAATACATAGAGAGTACAATAGCAAATATGTTTATTTTGGACGCTAAGGTTAAGAATAAAATTTCCCGACCGACTTTGCTACCTTTGTGCTTGTCTCGGAGTGAGCATCGAATCTAGAAGCATATCAGGCTGATAGAGCTCATCGGGATTCTGCAGGCATTTCTGTAGCACCCACTCCTCAGAGCATATCTCAGCGAGCACGCGACGAGCGAGAGACGACAGGGATTGCGACGAGTCCAGCAAAGTAGAGCCTACGCCGCCACTGCCTCTGCAACACAATACCTTCATGTGAAGTCATAAAGTCGAATTTTCGTTAGCAAAACATTTAATAATTTTAGATGATTGGTAAAAATGATTTAAATTTTAAAACTTTTCGGTAATGAAATATTTATCAATAATATTCTTTTTATTAATTTTATAAAAGTATATATTGTGAACTAACATATTTTTTAAAATAATAACCAATATAATATTTTTTGACACTATTAATTTATTATACACATAAACACCGAACATCAGATGATTGGAAATGGGTTTTGGGGCACATATGATATGGAAATATGATTATATAATACATGAAGGATTAAGGAGATGACGTCAGTTTATTTGAGATAGTATATTGTGTTATATACAAAGAAATCTCGTGATTAAGCTCAAAATATAGGATATATTACAACATAAACCCACCCATTATAATTATATTAAATACAGTTTTATGCTACGTGCAACACAATAGATTGTATGACCATATAATTTTTACATTTGAACAATCACAATGTGAACATGGATATAGCAATAGAGTTTTATTATTAGGAAAGAAGAGGACTGACAAATGAATTGTGAATAGAATTTTATTAACATAGATTTACATTCATAAACAGTTATTACGAAAATGTATTATAGCAGAATTTGCAGGGAAGAATTTGACATGTGACTTTAGAGTTTAATCTTCATCGAATCGAAATCAAATCGAAAATATATTAAATGGTATTTTTGAACTTGGATATATGGTACATGATGGAAACATATCCATACTACACTCTACACGACGTAATAAAATAAATTTGATGTGAAGATAGAAAGTAGACATGGGCTGTTTTTATTTAAAAATAGTGACTGAAGTTGCAGGTATGGCCACCATTATTTACTAAACAGAGCTAGCACAACAGATAATTGACAAGTAGTTCTTAAATAGTTTTATTTCTAAATACACAGAAAATACCACAACAATAAATAGACATAAATATAAAAGCAATATTGTTTTTATTCTCCTTTGATTTTGGAAAGTGCCTCATTTTGTACACAATTTTAGTTTTACAGTTAATAAATTGATATTCACTTAAGATACATAAAATCACAGTAATTAAATTATTTGAAACCCACTACTAAACAATCAGCCATAAAGAGCATTAAATACGATTCTGATTTGATCTCGATTAGATTGTCTTGTTTAAATTTTATTAAAAGTCAGCCTGTCGTTTCGTAACAATTATTGGGTAATTCAATATTCAGTTGTGAAGGGATAATGAAATGAGCGATACAACATGAAGGGAAGCGAAGCGTGTGATCGCCGTGATATGCACATCCCACATACAGCATTGGACCCTGGTGAGGTGCAACTGTGTAACTCAATATAAAAGAAAACAAACCTAGGAGTTCTATGGCCCCCACTCATCTCTGAGTCTACCATCCTAAGGATAAAAAATATGCATCAATGGTAGGCCAAAATTATTATACAGCAGTTCTGTTCAGCATGATTGGCAGTGCTAGCCGTGATTTGCTGAAATATGCCTTATGCTTTAGAAACTTAAGTACTAATTTTTTGTGATAACAGGTAAAGTTTTCACAGCATAAATAACATTTCAACAAATAACGAATAGAATTGTATTACCAAAATATCAATAAATGCTTAATAAAGAAAAATACAGCCAATAAATTTGATCAAAAAACAACTGTACATGATTTCCGAAAGTCTATGTTTTAAGTATGGTTTGTGACAATAGAATTTCATAATGTTATTATTAAAAATTATGTCACAATAAATTACTTTATTTATAATTATATTATGTATCTCTAATGCATCTCGCAGAAATAATGAATACAGTATATGAATAATTCTTAACAAATTTATATGATATGAACAGGACTCGAACCTGTGTAAATGAATCTAAATTCACTTAACTTAGAACAACAGTATGTAACACTGTCATATTTAACAGTATTAAAACTCAATGTAACATAATAAGAAATAATTCATAATTACTAATGTATCTCAATAAACATAGTATATGCATCTAGTATGAAATGTAACTCACGACATCAGATCTAGCTGGGCATCGGTGGGCCCGGAGTCGCTGGTGCCAAGTATGTGGGACAATTCGCAAGATTTTTTTCCACCTGACTTGCCGGCGTCTCGCGCTGTTGAATCTCCGACCACTGGTTATAATTATTTGATTAATAATTTAAAAACCCCATTGAAGCGACAACTGTTGTACTTCCACTTGGTATATATAGCACCACAAAGACTAACATGTTATAGTAAATTATGAACACAACTCGTCCTTACACACCTTATCAACTATTCTAAAAAGGATTTCTGAAAGCCCTCCAATAATTGAGGTAGACTGATTTTTGTTTTTATTTACTTCTCGTACTTAGACACACAGTTTAGATATATAATAGTTTGCCGTCGTCCATTCATGGTGTTCATGTATGTAGTCATTGGTTACCACTTTTCATCAGGTTGCAGGTTTCAGCAGATTGCTTTCCATTAGACTTACATAAAAAAATTACGTTCAGGCCTTTTAAAAAACATTATACTGACTGAGGATAGCCTTCAGCGTAGCTAGCACGGGTCCGACACCGATGTTTTTATGCGCAGCGGCAAGTAAGTGACGGTCGCACGAGAGACGAACTCCTGCGCCACCACCGCCCGGCCCGGGCGACGTCGACACAGAGTATAAACCTGACGACAATATAATTTATTGCATCTATCATTAATCTCATAAATAATAGGTTTTAAATAGAAAAGTGCAAATGAGTATTTTTTCGAATTGGCTCTACGTTGGAAAACACTGAATCTTATTTCGGGTTATATTATTATTATTATTATAATTAAGATTAAACTAACCTGGTTGGGGTGTGTCCACAGTTTTGAACAGTCTCAACAGCAGATGACACGTGAGGCGGGCTCCCGCGTCAGGCGAAGGTCCATTTGCCGAACTACCAGAGAGTATGGAGCCTCCGCCCCCGAACGCCTTCACAAGTGACGGCAACGCAGCATGCCGAACGAAATCCTCAAGAGAGAAGCAGTGACGCGCTGTAACAATATTAAAGATATTTTAAGTGGAATGCTATTTTTGAAATTATTTTTTTTAATTGATGATAATGGTATGATTCACCCGCCTGCGCTAACACTGGCGGGGCACCAGTGAAGGATGACACCGTGACGTAATTTCTAGGTGGAACCGTTTGGAGGTCAACCTGACATGGAACGTTGCTAGCAACGGGGTCATCTATCTACTTTATTAATAATCCCATTCCCCCCGATTTGGAAATTAGTTTGGTCTGATCAGATGTAAAACTTTATAGTAATCGTTTAAAAAAGCCAATGAAATAAGTCAAATCGATAAAAAAGACATGTATTGTGTGTATACGCACCGACTAGGATACAGGTGAAGACTGCGAGCGCGTCGTGTGCGGCGGCGTCGTGTAGGTCGCGGTGGTGCAGTAGGTCGGGGTAGAAGGGCGGCGCGGGGTGTGCGGGGTGCGCGGGGTGCGGCGGGTGCGGGGGGTGCGGGGCGGGCCAGTGCTGGGCGCCGCACAGCGCCACCAGCGCGCCCAGCCACTCGGCCGCCAGCGCTCCGCACCACGCCGTCATCTCCGCGCACGCCACGCCCAACTCGTTCACGCTAACGGACAACCATTTTTAACCTCGCCCTACAATATTATGCCCTTCGAAAGCTAGAGCCTAATTTCTAAGATGGTTAAGATAGTTGTGTCGTCGTAATTATGTTGAGGAGCAACGCCATCGTAAACATGTAAAAATGTTTAATAATTTCATAGTCATTTGACGATTATAAGTTGTCAGCTGGCAGTAACGTGTTGAACTCTCTGTCAACTGAGGTTATTAAATAAGTTTAAAATACATTTCAGTTCTTGTGTGGGTAATTCTAATAGATAACATAGTTTGTTTAGGGCGTCGTACAAAATGTAGAACGCGCTATTTATTTGTATGTATTTGTTTTTAATGTCCATAAAGGCATAAAAATATTTTTTTGTCAATGTTTGCAAGCATATGTGCGTTTTATATGGTAAAATCTAAAAGCTATAAACTAAATTTCATTAAGATCTATTCAGTCATTTGTGGTAAAAAGGGAACAAGTAGACACAATTCCGTTATTTTAATACTGCTAAAAAAATGTAGTTTAATTTATTTCTTACCGATCATTGTCTACTTCGCGGCAAACCGCTAACATTGCCGAACAGACAAAACTGTATCTGTTGGCCGGAGATTCTGCTACCTGTCTAGCCCACGATATTTCTATTTTACCTGAAAAACATTCTCATTTTATAACTGTTCCGTGAAAAAGACGACGAAAAGAACTTAAGTTAGTATAATTCAATTACCTTTACGTGGATTTGTGAAGAATTCGCTTAAAAATTGTGGATTGTACACATAATTTGAAGGGGTGGGTTGAAGCGATGAATATAGTGCTTGCCTGCAATAAAGATATCACGTCAATATATTTAAAAATAATATTTTTTCTAACGCATATATAATTTTCTCTCTAAAGTCTCTGTGAAATAAACAAATATCGAGAAATCCCGGAAAAGTCATGCTGCAAATGTCACTTATTTTATGATGGGACGAAAAGCTTAAAATTGACGATTCTATGATTACTGGCTGGTATAAACGGACGCCAATTATCATGTATCAGGTAAGTACGATACGTCACAACGTAGCTAACTTTACTAATTTTCTAATGACAGCTTTATATGTATATACACAATGTTGAAATCAGTTAATATTACTCCCAAACACATCTAGTGAGCAGTAATTGGGTAACTACGTAGTATTTAACGAAAATGACCATTTATAACAAAAAAGTGCGTTAACTTCACTTCATAATAAAATAAGTGGCCTCTGGCATACCGGGCATGTTAGATTATAAGATTGTATGGAAAACTAACTTGATTTTCGGATAGGCATTAGCGAAGGTGTCCGCGTGGGGAGCGTGGCAGAGATGCGCGGCAGCTTTGTAAAGATCGTGCAGTTGCGCGAGCACGCAGCGCTCCGCCGACCCGCAGTCTCCAGGGTTCACCACGCACTTCACCAGCCGGCATAGCTGTTCGAACACCGCCGACGTCTGCTCCACGCATACTGCCGGAATACGCCGACTTATTTTTATCAAGCAATACACGCAAGCAAGGCTTGCATATCTATGTGTGTGTTCTCCATCTGGAGAACTCGAATCTTTGGCACTAACAAACTACTTCTCTTCATTTTGTTGCCACAATTGAGTAGGCAGAGTAAGTTAGAGAAATTATCTCAATATAATTGAGAACCACAGTGATATTGAATACTTTAATTGCAAAAACATCGGTACAAATAACGACGTCAAAGTATGCATGAAAACAGATATTTACTAACTACTACAAGTATTTAAAATAGTTCATGCAAATAGAAAATCTGAAATAAAAACAAGATATCACATATGTGATGAAACAGCTTTCCGAATGTGCAGTAGATTAAAGTTAAGATTAAGTAACGGCTACACAAAAGTTTATATTCTATTTATACATTGAAATTTTAACTGGTCAGATAGTAAATTACGTGCAGATGTAACAAAATAATAAACTAAATCCGGTCCATATAATATATCCTTTAGTTCTTCGTTATTATGACAAAATATGATGATATGTTAAAAGATGTAATAGTCAAAACTTACGCAATAAACAGGAATGATATCGCCTGAGTGCGCCGACCGTGTACAGCGCTAACGCCGACGTGTAAGCGCGGGGTGCAGCCAACCCACTGCTAGGAGCACCGCGCGATATCAAAGCGCTTTCCACTTCTGACAACTCTTTCAGTATCTGAAACAATATGTTTATTATTACATTCCTAGATGAATTAGTCCGATTAACTAGATGACTAGCTATTACAGTTTAATTTCCTACATTGTTTTAACAGTTTGTAATCAGAATTTGATGAAATATTATTTTTTAAGCAGAAAACTTAACGTGACAAAATTTGCATACACAAATTTATTTAAATTCTTCGGAGTATACACTACAGATTATTACAGACTATTCTAAATAAAGTACGTCATTATATGTATACTCGTGTAGGTCAATTACAGACACCTGTGAAAAATTAAATTTAGTATCAGAAATATTAGTCAAATTTCTTTAGACATTAATTAATTGTCAGATATCTTATATCCTATTGAGTTTAGTTACTCCTTTAATTCGGCTATGACCTTCGAACCTACACCTAATAACATTAGAGTAAACGAATGCTTGGATTTAACATACCTGTATACACGTCTCGATTAGCCCGTGCACGTTGAGCGCTATCTCCATGAGGTCTAGTGCGAAGGCTACGTGCTCGGGCTGCGGCAGGTAGGTGGTGGCGCTGGCGGCGTACGCGGCGAGTGCTTCACACACCGCGCCGCCCACCGCCCACGACACTGCGCCTTGCTCGTACATCGACATCGCCTGGAAATAAGGCACATTAGCTGCCTTTACACGAGACATTCTTCCACGCTGGACAAGGAGCGCGCACGAAAGAAAGCCAGTGCTGATGATGATGACTGCCCTTACAATTTTTTTGTTATATTTTTTTTTCGCGCGTTTTTATATTGCGCGTATTTATATATTATCAATAACTTTTCTTGTATATTTTTAATTATTATTTAATTATTAGATTTTATTTGTCATTTACCCATTAATATATGGACACTTTTCTATCTAAAATAGATAGATGTCGTAAATACTTATATAGACTTATGTTAAGTATATCAATTCCAAATTTAAGTTGAGCCGAGTAACAAAGACACTCACAAGAAACTCTTTTCTTTATTTTTTTTTTTCAATAATTATTATACATTTAAAAAATTATATTGTACATTTAAAAATAATATAAATTCAAATTTTAATTTCAAATTTGAATCACAAGCAAATAATTTAGTAAAAATATGTATATTTTATTTATGTTCATATTGAAAACATGTTCGGAAATATTAGGAAAATAGTACTACGTAAAATGTAACCATTTAACGTACCTGAAACTTTTGTGTAACAGCCTCAAAATTGAATTCACTTCTAGAATGTTTCTTTATCTTTCCACCTTCAGCGACGTCGATTGAGAACTTTTTTGAGAATAGTTTGCATATTTCTAGAACAAAATGATATTATAAATTTGTGACAGTATAAAAATCATAGTTGTAATATATTTTTAGGTAATCAACGTGTCGCAGAATCATACCTCTTGTAACTATTATTCTGGTCAACTTAAACAATAATAATGCAATGTTCTACCCGTGTGAATATGAAATTGTAAAACTGTGTTTATAATAGTCATTTTTATACATTATTTATATTGTTAATCGGGTGTTAACACAAATAAGTTTAATAAAAAGAAAGAAAAGTACACACCTCTTAATATAATATAATTCTATTATATTAAGAGGTATATACCTTTATTTACCATAAACTTATTCGTGTTAAGACCCAATTTAAATACTGTGTTTTAATGTTCGAGTACGTTTACATATAAAAACACTCAACAAATATAATAAATCATACTCTTGAATACAAATGCATCGTGAAATAGTAAAATCCAGTCCGCGACCGTCAATAGCACGGCGCTCGAAATCGCTAAAATTTAAGACTGCCATACATATTTTTTTACTAGCGAGAACAGCGCGACTGCGCTTCTCGGCACTAAAAGGGTTATGGAGTACCGATAATATCGTAGAGTAGGTATACCTTTGGTCATCTTCTTGACTGCGTGCTTGGCCTCGTCCCGCTGGCGGCCGACGCCGTAGAGCAGGATGTGTCGCTGGTTGGCGTCGTGCGGCGTGTGGTCGGGCTCCGCGGGCGGCAGCGGGAAGTGCATCGTGTAGTGGTAGTGTCGCGACGCGCCGCACCCCCCGCACGCCGCGCCCGCGCCCGCGCCCGCCGCGCCGCCGCCGCCCGCGCCGCCCGCGCTCGCCGCGCCCCCCGCGCCCCCCGCGCCCCCGCTCGACGGGCCCGCGCTCGTCGACCGCATCCCTAGTACACACATCGCCATTCGTTATAACCACTACCCCCGGTAGGGGAGTGCTAGTAATGTGGACTGATAAACACATTTTTTTCTTTATTAGGAAAACAATAAAGTCATATTTTTACATAAGTAAAGTGTACATATGTATTGTACACTTTTACATTGTTTTCGCTTGTATAAAACTAGAAAGCTTGTTTAAGTTGCTATGGCTAATCATGTCAGTTTGAGACCCACGTGACCCTCCCGAAAATCACCCCGAAATTTGTGATAATTTACTACGATGGACTAACTGACCTGACCTTATGTTCATCTTATCACCCTCCACTGGTGGCCCGCCAACATAAACCGTTAGCGCATGTGGGTGCACCATTCGATTGTAATTACCAAAATAGTCACGATCGACTTCAATGTTGTCTAACATAGAAACGGTAATGTTTAATTCTAGAAATTGGAATTTGCCACGATAGTTTACCATTATTATCTTTAAACATAGACACTAGTACTAAATCAAATTAGATACCTATATATATTGAACATACATAGTGTATACTGACGATATATTTAACATGACATAAAAAACTGACATTTAAAAACCATCTCATAAATAACTACATCAATGTTAAAATACGGTTGGGGTTTAAATCGCGCGTTGTAGCACAGTGTAATAACTATTATTATTAGTATATTATAATTCCTTATTTCACGTTAGAAAACGTATAGTACATGTATCTTAATATTGAATCTACAGACACGAAATGAATTCTATAATGTTCAACATAAAGCACAATATTCAAACCTCTTGATCAAGGACATTAAAGACAATGATTACCTGGTACAGACATTGGTCCCATTCCCATTGATTGCATGCCCTGTATACTCATTCCGCTTGCTCCCATCATTGGCGAATTGACACTACACAAAACAATAAATTTAATAAGCAAATATAAATATAAATAAATAAAGCGTTTATTCGTTATAAAAATAAAAATCTTGCCTCTATATACACTAGTGTAACTATAGATAAAGAAAGTGTATTTAAGAATTCCTATTATTTCACTTTAGTTTTGTTTGGGACTAGATGGAGCTATGTGAATTGTACTGTCTACTATTATTATTGCCATACATAAATATTAGTAGATTCAGTCTAAGGCTTTTACCTGTGTGACGATTCGCCGGGATCTTTAGGACTATCTGGCGCGTCCATCGAATTCTCTTGATCTTCTTTTATGTGCTGCAGTAGTTTACCCAGATCGTCATCAATCTTGGAATCATCCAGATCCATTCGGACATTCTCCTTAAACAAAATCAGCACTTTTTAACTGTTAACAACTAGTTCTTATCCTAAATTATGACCAGAATTTGTAGAGTTTAAAAGAAGAGTACAATAATACTAATAAATTATATAATAATACTATGTAATGTGCATGTAATGATGATAAGGATATCTTAAAGTCTGACATCAGACTATTGTAAGTAAATAAGTCTATTATTATGGAGTATTGTGGCCATTGGCTATGGGTAAAAGGAACATTACATCAATATATTGCTATTTTTCATGTTTAAATATAAATTATTGGCCTATTAAGACTGAAAAACAAACTTCAGTCTGTTGCGTTAGTTAGCACGCACGGCTTCTTCTTCACAAATTCTGAAGCGGTACCTAACACTGACTATTTATCAATTAATAATACTATTACAAGAATTAAAACAACAAACAAACATTTAATACAAATGTTTAAATCGTATTCATACCAAGTTAACCATACAATAAAGCATGTTTTTGTGACAAATATTACAATAGTTCTAAACGATATACCCACTTGTCACAAACAAAAGTCATCGATAGTTATTTTAGTAAAACCGCAGTAAAAGAGTAAAAAGTGTAATCCTAGCGGATTAAGCAGACGAATTTTAGTAGGAATATAATAATTAAAACAATAAAGCCAGACATGCTGTTGTTTATATAACTACCTCCATTTTGGGCTTGAGGTCAATGCCGGCAAAAATGTCGTCGTCCATGTTGTGATTAGCTCCAGCGCTGGCGGAAGGCGGCGGTACCGAGTGCGGGACTGATGAAGTCGGCTCGGTCGGTGATACGAGATCACCTGCAATAGAATCGTATAGTTGGGAAACAATATTTTAACAACAACATCGTTTAGGAATTTCTGAATATGTAGTTCGGGGACTCCCGGCGCTTCGTTAATATGTATGGAAGTCCACAGTAAATCTTTACAACATCTCACGATTTTAAACAAATTCAACCAAGTTATTATAAATGTGTTTTTATTGAGGAGTTTGTTAAGAATTGTGTTTAATTTCTTAGTAAAAAAACGTTCTGATACTATGGCCTATAATACAACTGACAAGACAATGTCAGAGAGATAATCATCATTCTGTAAGGCTACATTCTTGTTTGGTTGTTAAACGTAAAGAAGATACAGTAAAGAATAAATAGTGACAAGAAATGGCCTAACAAGTGAATAATTTAGACCTATTCAGTTAAGCAGAACTAGTAAGTGTTTATAGATGTTCATATAAAATGCGATTGGTAGAGATTGGGGTTACTTTAGCAACAAAGTTCTCATTTCTATCTAAATACAGAAGCGAGTAATAATTGGTCGCGTATCTTGGAATCTTTGGCGCAACATGTCTACACATTCCAATAATCTTTTATTTTTAAAAATTAGGTGACACTTTGTTTTCGTACAATAAAGGATAAATAAATAAAACATACCTCTAGAGATCAACGTACACATGTACGCATCGTGAGAAAATACGTCGCGGCGTATAAGTTCCCCAAATAGGTGTACCAAGTTGGCAAACTGTTGTCTGTTTCCAGGTGGTGCGTTAGAGCTTTCATCTGCAATATACAAACATAATAGTGGGCCTCATGAACAAGCTCAGAGTCAGTCAGAGGGCAATGGAGAGGGCTATGCTCGGAATTTCTCTGCGTCAGCGAAACAGAAATGAGGAGATCCGCAGAAAAACCAGAGTGACCGACAGAATCCAGAGAGACAGCCCGAAGAATTGCGACACTGAAGTAGTGATAGGCAGGGACATAGCTCGTAAGACAGATGGCCGTTGGGGTAATAAAGTCCTCGAGCGGCGACCACGGACCGGAAGACGCAGCGTGGGAAGGCCTCTAGCAAGGTGGATCGACGAACTGGTCAAGATCGCTGGAAGGCATTGGATGCGAGCAGCGCAGGACCGATCGTCGTGGAGATCTTTGGGGGAGGCCTATGTCCAGCAGTGGACGTCTTCCGGGCAGAGATGATGATACAAACATAATAGTAGCATAATATTATGTCACTTGTGTAATAATAACAGTGTGTGAATATTATATTAGCTATGAATGCTTTCAAAAATATATTTTTTGAACTAATTATAAAAATCAAAACTAAAATCAAATCAAATCAACCCCTATGCCCATTGTAAGCATAGATTATTATCACGTTAGTTTCTGTCCCCTCCCTTTTTTCCGTTACCTATGACAGTAGCGATCGCATCGTGTCGGCGCTCACTTTGCCTAATTGAAATAATAATTAATTGCAAAAGTGAGTGATTAGCAGAATGAAAGCAAGTGAAAAATCACCTGGATGCTGCTACGTGTTAAGGAGCCCAGGAAATCTTATCAGGAGCAATCAGATATCTGACTGACCTTTTACTTCACACTTCCACATATAGTATTTTCCCTAACAGTCGAATTGAGATTTCTTTCAGAGAAACCTTTGCTCATATTTTTTTATATCCATCCAGTAATTTTAAATTACCGGTGAGGGTAAGGTAAGAAACAAAATATAATGTGATTTATTTTGTGCATTCAAAATAAAAGAAATTAGTGATATATATAAATACTTACCTAATACTGGTGCGTCATTGTCGAGGAATCGCAATAAAAGATTTTGGAATATGGGCGGTCCATTGTAAAGACCTGTACCGGAACTGATGGACTCCTTGTCATCTGAACCTAAAATAGATTATTTGATTATTGAAGAGCAGAATGTAGTTTCCATGTTACTTTTATAAATATTTTTTTCTATGTATGTATATAACATCGTTTCCATTGCTGTCATATAATATTGGGTGTTGCATTTTAGTGTTCTTTTACCTAACAACTTTTATTATTAGTAACCATAAGATACATTAAGGTCCCATTTCTAACTTTCTGATTACAAATGGTACTTTACATTTCATGGGGACCTTATAAGTTGGTAGTTAATGTAGAATAGAAAGAGTAATGAACATGGCAAATAGGTTTTTTAAAAAAATATCGTGGTTGGCCTAATCAAACAATTTTGCACTTAAGCGAACAGTAAGCGGCGGGGACTTTGTAGTATGTACGATGTTACCTTGTTGCAATGACAACGCAATAAGCCCATGAAAGATGACACGGTTCATCAAGATGTAGGATCATGCGCGATGCTCGCACCCCGGCGTGCCAAGCACACCGCCCACTCGCACAGCAGTGCTCAGTGCACAGTGCACTACCGCGTGTGTACGTACCCGTGGCGTGGTGGTCGTGCTGCATGTGGTGGTGCAGCAGCTGGTGCTGGCGGCGGTCGAGCAGCGCGCCGAGCACACCGCCCACTCGCACAGCAGTGCTCAGTGCACTACCGCGTGTGTACGTACCCGTGGCGTGGTGGTCGTGCTGCATGTGGTGGTGCAGCAGCTGGTGCTGGCGGCGGTCGAGCAGCGCGCCGAGCACACCGCCCACTCGCACAGCAGTGCTCAGTGCACAGTGCACTACCGCGTGTGTACGTACCCGGGGCGTGGTGGTCGTGCTGCATGTGGTGGTGCAGCAGCTGGTGCTGGCGGCGGTCGAGCAGCGCGCCGAGCACACCGCCCACTCGCACAGCAGTGCTCAGTGCACAGTGCACTACCGCGTGTGTACGTACCCGTGGCGTGGTGGTCGTGCTGCATGTGGTGGTGCAGCAGCTGGTGCTGGCGGCGGTCGAGCAGCGCGCCGAGCACACCGCCCACTCGCACAGCAGTGCTCAGTGCACAGTGCACTACCGCGTGTGTACGTACCCGTGGCGTGGTGGTCGTGCTGCATGTGGTGGTGCAGCAGCTGGTGCTGGCGGCGGTCGAGCAGCGCGGCGGCGGCCTGGGCGCGGTGCTCGCCCCAGCGCGCCGAGCACACCGCCCACTCGCACAGTACGCGCACTACTGCGTACGGCGCCGCCCACTCCTACGCACACACATTTTTTTTTGTAACATCAATAGTCAACATGCCAATGACTCCTTGAACCTAATTGGTAACTCACCTTTATACATAAACAGACATCAAGTTATCATGTGATCGTGATATTGTTACATGCAGTTAAACATCTCTAAACTGTTACAAGTGAACGAATTTTTAAATTACCACCTTTAAAGATTAAATTTTAAAGCAAAAGTTAGTCTATTTTATCTGTCTAGTAGTATTAAAAAAATCGTGGAGTACTAAGATATAAAAAGAGACCTGTAGTCTCTTTTTATATCTTATCTATCGCAAGTATTTTACGTCCACAATAGAGTAAAACGGCCACAAAAGAAAAAATATTTTTAGCTGACTAAAAAAGTAGGTTATTTTCCTATTAGATATGTAACATTTAATTTAATATTAAAAATTTGCATTTTCATTAGAATATTACGAATAGCAATAAAATTAATTTACCGGATCTTTGCTATCCATATTAGCGTCTTTGGAAGGCGGATTACAGTTGGCAAACACTTCTTTGTACAAAGTGTCTAAATTGTTATTGGGATCCACACGATCAAAGCAGTGCCGGTCCAACGCTTCCAGCACGGCGAGCACACGAGCTGACAATAAATTAAAAAGTAAATAAATATATTGCTAACGCTAATTTAGAAAGTGTAATGGCCTTACTTGTTATGAATATTTTGAAAGAAAAATAATCAAATTTTGATTTCAATAAAAAACATTTCTTCAAAAATTTCTTAAAAAAACAATTCTTAATTCGTTTCAGCGATGTAGGTTATAAAATTCCCTTGCGCAATGTTTGTTACTGTACTCCTCCGAAACGGATTGTTCGGGTTGTACCGAAACTATAAAGATTCTGATAGGTAAAACTGATAAATGATACTGATAGAAACTTGATTAAAACTGTATATTGAAACTTAAAATATAACTGATTAATGAATGTAATGAGTACGCGCGGCGTCCTTGATGACCGAATGCGAACTGATTTTAATGAAATGTGAAATGTAAAATAAAATGTTAATGTTGCGAAATAATGTACGATGCTAGCTCGTACATATTCCCGGGCGCGAAAGAAGATGTGAATGGGGATGCTGTGGTTGTGACCTTAATTACTACTTACAAGATGATGTACAATTGTTTCTTACAGATAGCATGCTAATGATTTTGTTAGTAAGTCGAATGATTTAACAAGATGATATAATACAATACACGAAGGCTTATTCTACACACACACGCGTTAGGGATGGCGTACACTGATCTTAGCACAGACGATGTGCTTCTGTTTTGCTCTAAGACACGCGCACTTTCTCTCGTATTCACTGATATCACGGGCACTACACTTATTTTCTACACAGACACACACACTAACACTAACACTAACACTGATCGATGGCGGGGGAGCGCCCGGCTCCACCGCCGCTGGCACCATAGGCGCCCGCTTGCAGCGCCACCATCCAAGAACTGGAAATCCGGTCACTATCATAGCAACTGAAGCCATCCTAATTTAATTACTAAATTGAGGACGAAAATGTGGTGAAGTTGCTTTATTTTCCACGCACAATTTAGGACGTCCAAATGTCTTTTTGACAGTTTGATAGACTACACTGTCACATTCACTAACACTATCACTGTTTGCTGTTTCCATCGCACGGGGTTGGGGCGCGGGAGAGCTGGCCATGCCAACCGCCACAGTCGGCGATGCTGTGCTCGTCGAAGGGACCTTCCAATTGCGTAATCGACGCAATGTATAGATTACGCCGACTAACACCATCACGGCGATAATTATATAAATTAAAGTATAGTGATGTACGTCATGATAAGTTATGTGATCTGATAGTACGGGTTCGTTCTCTTTCATGAACTTAATTCTTTCTCCAATTTCTGTGAGTTGCTGACTTTCCGAATTCGATATGTCATTCCACTCGTGATGAGGAATAGATATGTTAATGATGTGGTTTATCGGTGCGACTGTGGGTGAGTATATATCTGGTGATATCTTTAATTTATTTGAATGCTGATAATGTGATGTAACAGTGAAATTATCGGTTTTGATGATGCATCCACTGTCTATAGTGCTCAATCCGGCATAAGTGAGCATATGTACGGTAACCTGATCTCCACACATTGCTCGTACTTGACACTGATTGCAACAAAAATAAATATAATTATTAAGTTCATTGCTTTCTTCCCACATATTTTCGCATTTGCTAGTGATCGTTTTGCAAGTGGAATTTTCTGATTCACAAAATTCTTGATTTGTATTAATTTGATATATAGGTTTTTTAATATAACATAAATGTGCATCTACAATAAGGCATGATTTTATATCGAATTCCGACATTGTGATATATGTATCTTTCTTCAAATTTATAGCTATGTATTTTGAGATGGGTATAATTCTGTGATCATTTTGTTTCCTGTAACTTTCGGTATTGAGAATAAACTGAAAATCTCGAATGAATCTCTGCTAATTAGCGGTAGTCTTATTTCAAATATGAGGTATGATTGTAACATTCTTGCTTTAACTTTAAGTAATTTATATATTTGAGTGAGGTCAGTATGTATGCTTTCTGTTGGTAATATGACGTCATTAGACAAATGACTCGCTATAATGCTTAGTTCTTTCTGTAATTGTTCTGGTTGTAGAATATGAGGGTTAAATCGGCCATGATAGAGATCTGTCACTGTATCTAAGATAGTACCTTGTAAGGTTTTCATATTGCTGAGTAAGTTGCTTGCAATGACTGATGCTAAGGTAAACTGATTTACTATGAAATTATCTTGTGTCTCACTTTTTATGGTACTAATTTCGCGTTCTAAACTTATAATATGTTGATTTATCATTTTATGTTGCTGAGTCATAGTATTTTCTGTTCGCTTTAAGATGTTATACTCAGCCTCCATGATCGATGTTTGATTTTTCCAGAATGATGTTAATTTTTTCTGATTGTCTCGTAGTAAAGTAATGTCCATCTCATACTTTTCGGCGAATCTTTGATCCAATACTCCGAATAGGGAACTGGCGATGTAACCGACACCGTCGATAAGACCGCGGCGACGCCGCCTTGCGGATTGCACCTGCTCGTTATAATGCTGACTGAGCAACATATGATTGTAGTAATCGAGTTCATTGGACCCGTGACGTAACTGTAGTAGTAATGTGTCGCAGTGAATTTGATATCGTATTGTTTTGCATGTTTCTTCCAGCGACTTTGTATATTTTTCAAGAGCACTTATTCCTTCCCAATAAGGTTCCATGTTGTAGTAGATAATGAGTTTCCATTCATCTCGTATGATTTTCATGCTATTTAATTTATCGAAGAATAAAGCTTGATTTTTAGAAAATGTGGTAATGTTGAATGTTGCATGTGTATTGGATATGATAGATAAGAATAATAGTAGTGATGTCGCTAATGTTAATAAGCTGAATACCCCTTTTCGTCTTTCTCGCTTAGGTTGGTTTTTTAAAGTTGATTCCTGAATTTCTGTTATATTTTTCTGGTTTTCAATCTGCTCTGTGTTTACAGGTAGTAGTGATACTTTAACAATGGGACGTTTTATAATTCCATTTTTAGTTTTAAGTGTGACTACTCTCACGTGTCCGTCACTACCTGGGTGCACTTCAACTACGCGACCTATAGCCCATTTCCCCGGGGGTAGATTTTCATCTCTGATTACTACAATATCATTATTTTTTATATTCTGTTGAGGCTTTCTCCACTTACTTCTGGCTGCTAGTTGAGTAAGATATTCATTACTCCATCGATCCCAGATATCTTTAAATATTTTTTGTGTTAGATGCCATCTTGTTCTTAAGTCATTTTCTGTTTCACAGATGTTTAAGGTGGGACCACTTCCTAAAAAGTGAGAAGGTGTAATAATATCTAGATCATTGGGATCTTCTGTCATAGGACAAAGAGGTCTTGAATTTAAACATGCCTCCAACTGGGAGAGCACCGTGCTATATTCCTCAAACGTAAGTTTCTGTTCGCCTACTACTCTCTTAAGATGATATTTTAGGGTTTGTACTGACCGCTCCCATAATCCTCCTGCCGAGGGCCACGCAGGAGCGTTAAAATGCCATTCTATACCCATGTTTGTTACTTCTGACATGAACTCCTTGCTAAATATTTCTGTTAAATGATTATACTCCTCCTGTAATATTCTGTTTGCCCCAATAAAATTTGTTCCTTGATCACTGTAAATGTGACGGGGTACGCCTCTCCTTGCCGCCATCCGTCGCAACGCAGCTAAAAATGCAGACGTTGTCAAATCTGATACAAGTTCTAGATGTACTGCTTTCGTAGACATACAAACAAATACTGCCACATATCCCTTTGTGGTCTTGATACCACGGCCCTTGTTGGCTTTAATTAATATGTGACCTGTATAGTCGACGCCTGTATGTAGAAATGGTCGAGAACGATTGGTGCGTGCAGGTGGTAAATCTCCCATAATTTGGTACTGTTGTTCTGGACTTTGTCTCCTACATTTTACACAGAGACGTAGTCGTTTTTTGGTAGCTCGAATTCCACCTACAAGCCAGTATTTACGCCTCATAATTGCAGTTGTTAAACGAGCTCCGCCATGATATGTCAGCTCATGTGCTTCGTCAATCATGAGGTCCGCCAATCTTGTGTTACTCGGAATGATCGCAGGATGTTTTGTTTCAAGATCTATATTGGCATGTCTCAGTCTACCACCAATCCGAAGTATACCGTTTCCATCTAATATTGGATTGAATTCGATGAGTTTACTGTTATTTTTTAAGCACTTGTTTGCTTTTAAAGCTTTCACTTCCTCAAAAAATTCTTCTCTCTGCACTTCTTTAATAATTATTTCTCTAGCATCCTTCAATTCCTGTATAGTTAAATAATGTTGCTTATTTTTATTTTTCCTATTAATAAATCTTAAAATCCATCCTAAAATATTTACTGCTTTACTTAGTTTACTACATCTAGTTAATATAATGCTTATAATATCGTTTTTCGGGTATGGTTTTATTACAGTCATTACATTTTTATTTTTTAATTCCTGATTTGTTGTATAACTTGTTACATTTTTCTCCTTAGTAGGCTGATATGTAGGTAACCACTTTGGTCCATTCCACCAAAGCGTATGTTCTCGAAGCTGAGATGCAGTGAGACCACGGCTAGCACAGTCAGCCGGGTTTTCTTTCGATTGAACGTAACTCCAACACGACGATGGCATAATTGACGTGACTTGTTTCACACGGTTGGCTACGAATGGTTTCCATCTATCTGTATCTCCTTGCAACCAACCTAAAACTGCCATCGAATCTGTCCAACCATATAATTTAATGTTACAATTATTAAGACCTGATTTGATTTTTGTAATTAATTTGGAAAGTAAGACGGTGGCGCATAACTCTAATCGAGGTAGAGATGTGTTTTTATTTAAAAGTACTACTTTCGCCTTTCCGGCCACCAAAATAATTGTTTTAGTTACTCGGCAATAAACAACGCAGGCGTATGCTTTTGTGCTCGCATCACAAAATCCATGTAACTCTATGCACTCATTTTCCTCTGTATGTAGCCACCTAGGCACCTTACAATGCTCTATCGAGTTTATATCTTCT